AAGACAAAGGAAGATCTACTATATTTACGCGTATTGTCTTTATTTACGAAGCAACCTTCGCTACGCGTGTTATGCTTAGCGCGTTAAAGCGCGTGTATGCCTTCCGCAGCAAACACCTATACCTACCTCTATCTACCAACCTCTAACTCTAAGCAAACTCATCCCTCGAGACACTATAGTCTAAACACTATAGTCTAAACACTACAGTCTAAAAACCACAGTCTAAAAACTATAGTCTAGCTATGCGTTTTACCTTCTTGCCGCTAGGCGTCTTAGGTATTTAGCTAAACCCTCCTTAAGCGACACTATAGCTAGCTGTAGCCGCAGCCGCAGCCGTAGTAATACTATCTATTCTAACCGGAACGAAGCGCCCTCGCGAATACGAAGAACAAGAACAAGAATAAGAGGAGGAGGAGGATAATAAGGGATACGAAGGCGCGGCTAAAGACTCGAGTAACCTTCTAGCCCTAGATAATATCGTTGTAACTACCGAGCCTAAAAATGATGAATTAGTATAGATGGAAGCCGTTAATCCTATAGCACGTATAACTACTAAGCTGCTTGATCTTTAGCTAGCTTCAACTTAAGCTATCGAAGATGCTAATTAGCTAAGCGTAGATAAAGTAATCGAGGCAGCTAGGTATTAAATCCAGGCTAATAAAGAGCCTATCTTTGTATAGGAAGCGACAGCTATACTAGGTTAAGAATATATTAAAGCTAATAAGGAACACGTACCTCCGACTTAATAGACTAGCCTTATGCTTCTACCTCCGACCCTAGCGAGCGACTAATCTTAGCTCCTTAATTAGAAAAGGGGCTGTCGTATCCGCGCTATTAACAACCTAGAGATGTCCTTTAGTCTCTAGCTCTAAGGTGTAGGCATCTTACGATCCGACTATGCCTCCTTATATAATATCTTTGCGACCCTAGTACTAAACAGTAAGCTATCCGATCTACCTAAGTCAATTGATACAATCAAATTGCACCTGAAGTCGGTTCTTCTACTACTACTAATACGCTACTAGGAAATCCCTCTATAGAAACAGAAGACATTGCTAACTGTACTAGGGTCTCAAGATTTTAAGACCTCCGAGCCGCTATACTTCTTCGACCTATAAGAGCTGTTTACTCGCCTACTTAGCTCTAACAATGCTATATATAGCGGACTAGCTAAGCTTATCGACCTACCGACTAAGCTATTTTAGTCCCGTACTTAGGCAAGCTCGATCCGTATAACTTCTAGTGTATTCGCGAGATATCTATCGTTAGGCGGCGTACTAGTTACCTACGCTACTAGACCTATACGTAGAGTCGCACTACAATACGAGCTTAAGAAGAAGACTCGTACGAGGAAGGTAGCTCGGACTAACGGTAACGAGGAGACTCTACTAATACTAGCACCTCTAGTTAACTAGCAGCAATTCATCGGCAACGCTAGTAGACCTGTTTTTCTATTAGACTTTGTCCGTTTCCTATGCTAGGATATTAGCTACAGTTGTCGATCGACTCAAGCCTACGCTAGCCGCGTTATAGCTATATAGGTCGATAATCGCGAGCCGATAAAGCGCAACCCGAAGGGAGATTATAAGGGCAGTAAGGGATTAATAGTAATCTAGATCGTGCCGCTTCTTAACTACGGCGCGTTGCCTATATATATACGACAGTCTCTTACTAATAATATTGTCGAATACGAGCTGTTCTAGGCAGAGAATCAACTCTATACTGTTCTAGAAGCTAATATATAGCCGTTCAACTTAGGTTTGGTTACTATATATTACCTATACGAAAGCAAGATCGACGCTACTCTGCTTCTACGCGACGATAGGTATAAGTTTGTTGTATAGCGTATTGTTACCCGTAATGGTTCTATCCGCCCGATTCATTAAACCTATCTAATCCGCGGTAAGCTAGAAATTATAGTATACGGTCGTTAGTAGCTCCTTAAGTTTGACTCGCATATAACCGGTTTAAAGGTTCTCTCCGCGCCTTTCTTACTATTCATCGATAGCTTTAGCCTATACCGCAATATATACCGGTTATTAATGGGCTAGTATATAATTATAGCTAGCCTCTCTATACAGGAGCGAAATCGGACCTCTAATGTTATTCTATTTACATTAGGTCTATACGGTAGCAATACGGAGGACGTAATTAGCGCTATTGCCCCGAGACTAAAGAGTCTTAATATCGGACAAGAGCTTGATTTATATATACCGGGCGGTAAGGCGTTAGTTTGCGTATTCGCATTAGCGTGTATTAGCGATATGCTATAATAGTAAGAAAACTCTAGTATGCTCGGCCCTAGAGCTAATGTCTCTTATCGCTTCTACTATATACACTTAGCAGATCGCGGCAACCTCGACGTAGATTGCCTACGCTTCTACTATAAGAACGAGCGAATCCGATAGTACATGTCTTCTATAGGTATAGCAGCTTCTATACGAGCGACCTTTAGCCGGTAATATAGTATGCTTAGTAAGACTCCCGCACTCTAGTAGCTATTTCTAGCCTTAGATATTATCCTGTTACGACCTTCGGATCCTACTTACTTAGAGTATAAGGGCATAACTAGTATATTCTATACTGTCCTTCTCGCAGAGATTCTTACTAATACGGCTTAACTCGAATACGGCAAAGCAATTTATAGGTTTCTAATGCCTCCTAGCTGAAACCGCCTCTAGTCTCTACTACACTATCTTGCGCAATACAGCCTCTCTAAGCACGCGCGTTAGTCTGTTACAGTCCCAATTTTGGGTCGTCTTTAGCTAAATGATAGCTATATTATGCAGTTATTCCGAGATGCCGTACGGGGTATATTATCCTAACAAGGTACTATGCTATACTAGGTTGCTAATAGTCTTGCTTAGGAGCTCTAGATACCAATAGACGACGTATTAGTAGCTGCAATTCTAGTTCGCTTCCTTATAGTATTAGCTCGTTCGAATGTCTACCTTATATCGAAAAAGACTACTACCTAGCAACGTATCGACTATATAACTAAAATAGTAGCAATGCGGCGCATCTTCTAGGAACTTATAGAATGCGCAGCTATTTCGAACATTAAGAATCTATACACTCGACAGCGTAGCCGTAGTTATAGCATCCCTCCTGTTGCTAGCACCTAGCTTAGCTAAACACCTATACCTATAGCTACAGCTACAGCTATAGCAGATTAACAACCGAAGGAGACTAAGGGCGCAGCTGAATACCGTAGCATAGCAAAGCGACTAAATGTCTACATCGGGCAGCACTACGTAGAGACAATTGCTAAATATGCTATAGCTAGCAATCTTAATGTACTAGCTAGCGAAGCTAAGCATAAGACTATAAAGTAGCAGATTTACCTTACTAACTAATATAGGCCTAAGAAGGACCTCCTCGAGCGGCAGGGTCTTAAAATGACTATGCGACTGCTGCTGCAAGGTGCGTATAAGCAGGAGCCTAACCTCTCGGCTTAAATAAGCGACCTCTTTAAGAATAACCTACAGCTCTTCGACAATGTCCTACCGCGGTCTAAGCGAGGCACTAATAGCGACGATTACTCGGTTCTCGATAGTACAGAGGTTATGCTTAGCGACGACAACTATCTAAATATAACAACTAGCGATCGCCTGCTATAGTATTACTACAAAGACTTCTTGCTGCTTCCTGTTTGCAATAATGCTATAAAGAAGCTATTCAAAGATGCACTTGTAGCCGTATACTAATACGACTATAACCGGACTAATTGCATACTAGACAATAGCGATGCTCTATACTAGTATAAGCGCTTTGCCTTCGATAATAAGCCTACCTAGCGCCGGACTGTCCTTCGCCGGGGAGACTTTGTTCGATATCGCGGCGGCATTAATATCGGCCGTATCGATTAGATCTTTACGCACTGTACGGCTCGTAGCATCTCGCTTTTCGTACTAATTACTGTCGCCTAGATAGACCGAAAGGATCTAATGCTGTAGCTTTTAGTATATAAGCTTACTGCTAAGCAGGTGACTATCGGTATTAACGGCATTAATAGCAGTAAGATTTGGATAGTGCTAGTAACTAGGCAGGGCCTTTAGATAGCAAAGGGCAAGGCTGCTATTAATATAAGAAGCAGTAACCGTACCCTCTTTGTCGATTGGGACCTACAATTCCTTTAAAGGTAGTTAGGTATATTCAGCTTCATCTTAATAGTAATAACTTAATGCTAAATAATAAACAGGCTAAGCCGACGCGCTAGATGTCTATCGAACATACGCTCCTTGTAGTATAGACTCTCTAGCAGAATACTACACTCTTAACTAACTAGAAACTAGGCTTTCTACGCGGTCCTTTATATAGTCCCTCTGCTCTTCTACTCGTAAGTCTGAAATCTATACTCTAATAACAATCGCTGACTTTTAGTATAGATTTGCTATTCTACTGCGACCGAGCTATACTATTCTACTACGACCGAAGCTATACTATTCTACTACGACCGAAGCTATTCTCCTACGACCGAGCTACGTACTAACAATACCTTTTAACGCTTTCTATAGCTAGAAGGACAGGTAGATAGCCGGATAGCTAGCAGTCGGCAAGGTAGGCAAGGGAATAGGATATACTAAGTAGCCTATATAGAAAACTGCAATCGTATAAACTAAAGCACCCGTATAAATCTCTATACTAAATAGGCCTGTCTCTCGCATATACTATTATACTGTATAAACTGCTGAACAGTAGGACTCGCTCCTACTGCATAGATTGCTGAACTGTAGGACCCACTTCTACTGTAGGACCTAATTAACAGTAGCCTTAGCAAATAGTACTTAGGTTACAATAGCATCTTACTGTAAACAGCACCGCTTTAGAAAACTGGAGAAATGCTGTTATCTGAGCCTACAGTTGAGATTATTATATCGCATATCTACAGCATATCTACGGTCTAGACTGAGCATATGCCCCGCTAAGGTATGCCCGTGGATACACAATAAAGGGAGTTGCCTCCTTTGACGTAGTTGCCATCGAAACTTCACACAAACAACCGCATTTACGTGAGCAAACGCATGCTCACGATTCAAGACATGATCAATCGCCGCGATGGCCATGTCTACGATGCTCTACAATGAAGACCCTGGATTGAGGGAGTTGGAGAGGTCCCCGAAAGTCTCCGAGGTGAGGAATCGGAATCGCATGCGGCATCGTCGCCGCTGCCAATTGGCTGAAACGAGATTCGGCAAAAACGCGGCCGACTCGTTTCTGCTTGGAGCTCCTGTTGACAACACAGTAGATCCGTTCTATCCTCCATTCTCAAACCACCGAGCCCGACTCGCCGTCGCATACAGACAATCGTCATCAACAATCCTCTTGGATCCGTCGATTGAACCCTTTCTCATCCACATCCGACAACATGAGCTTCCTCGAGGGAAAAGTCGAAGACAAGGTCGACCGCGCAGTCGCGCCTCTGCTTCCAATCCCAGCTTTCGGCGACCTCAGCAAGGCTGCCAACGACGTATGCGATTCGACCAAGCTCGAAAGCGAGGCACAGTGATGGACGTGAACTCTGCTAATTGGAAACGCAGCTCATCAACAAGGACTTCTACCACACCAGCCAGGGTTCGTGTGGCTTGGGAGAGCTTGCGCGATACCCACAAAAAACTTCAATACTGACTGCAAGTCTATAGCGACCCTCGATGTCAAGCTGAAGGCTCCAAACGGCACCAACGTCACTGTCAAGGGCAAGCAGGGCTTCGACGGCGTGACCAGCGGATCCGTAAGTGCCATACATTGACGCGCAAAGCATGAAAGCTCCTAACGAAGGGATTAGATCGAGGGAAAGCACTCTCTTAAGCCACAGGGTAGGCGAGACCCATCTCTTTCAAAGACTTCAACTACACAGAACTCAAAGCCCAAAAAGTCGTCTCAGAAAGCCAAAGCAGGCAAGGAGAAAGAGCAGCGCAAAGGTTTTGTTGAGGGTATAGCATTTGTGACAAAACTACCTGCACCTTTGCGCACAAGGCTCATACTCTACGCTGTTGGCTTTCCAGACGGCAGGGGTGAAACGGCAGAATTGGGGCTGACATTTCGACAACAAGGCGTGACCATTACCCAGGCATGGACTACCGCGTCTCTCCTCGACAGCAAGGTCGAGCTCCAAGATGTTGTCGCTCCAGGCGTCAAGGTCGACGTTCAGAACCTCTGGAACCCGGCCAAGGAGGGCTCTGCCAACCAGAAGGTTAACCTTGCCTTCAAGAACCCCAATGTTCACTCGCGTGCTTTCATCAACTATGCCACCGCCAAGGGCAACATCGATGCGACCGTCGACATCACCGCAGGCCACGAGGGCTTCCTCGTCGGTGGTGAGGCTGGCTACGATGTTCAGAAGGCTGCTGTTACCCGATATTCCCTCGGCGTCGGCTACCAGACTCCAACTTACGTTGCCAGCATTGTTGGCACCCAGAACCTGACACTCATCGCAGCTTCTTACTACCAGAAGGTCAACTCTGCCGTGGAGGTCGGTGCTCAGGCTGGATACGATGTCCAGAGCCAGAAGGCTAGCGGTCTTGAGCTCGCCAGCAAGTACAAGCTCGACCCAATCTCGTTCGCCAAGGTAAGCACCGAAGGATGGGTCGCAAGCGAGCAGCACTAACGCTTGCAACAGGCCAAGATCAACGACCGCGGTATTGCTGCTCTTGCCTACAGCACCAAGCTCAACCCAGGCACCACTCTCGGCCTCGGCCTCTCGCTCGACACCAACAAGCTCAACGAGGCTGGCCACAAGATTGGCACCTCGCTCACCTTTGAGGGTTAAATGTACCACATATCCGGAGGGCTGTTTGAAATATGCGATGAGGTAGCGGAATAGAAGATTGAGGTCACACTTCACTCTGTTGTTGCTCGCGATGTGCGACGGCGCCTAGCTTTCGCCATACCCAGCTGGGCGAATCGTACTTTGTATAAAAGCCTTCTGTTGCGCCAGACATTTGTCACATGTGCTTCTCTTTTGCGGTCGCTGTCCCACGAGGCTCGCAATGGAGCAATATCGGTCGCTTGTTCTTTATCGAGCAATCTATGTGGTCGCCTAAATTCTGCATGTGGTGGTCAGGTGTGATCGTGCGGGTCGATCGCAAATGCCTCTGCGTACTTGGCGAGATACCAGGCTTGAAGCACCAGATCGACGCTTGTTCGTTTTTTGCACCTGTAGCCTCTTGGTTAATTCACCGAGGACTGTATCCTCCCTTGATCTCCGGCTCCGGTCTAATCTGTTATAGAATCGCGATTCGCAAGACCTTCGTGCTTTCTCCAGATGACCGGGTTGCAGGCCTGGGCAAGCCGCTTGCATCGAGATGCCTGTCCAACAACGACCACTCTTCAATACGACAATATAGCATTCAGCACTTATTGGGGCCCACGGGTGTCGGATCGGGCCTCCAGAGATGTTCAGTCTGACTCGCATGAGCAGTTCAAAATGCTGCGAGCCATGTCTTGCCCGTCCGGAGTTAAATCGCTGATCGACACGGACCTCCTCCTCCTCCTCCGTCTAATGACAACCGACCGCATGGCGTATGCCGTACTCCGATGACTTTCTGCGCCTGTACCAAGACGGTCGCACGGAAGTAAGCCCTCTTTCGTTTCGCTTCGCTGCGCTGCGCTGCGCTGCAAGCGAGACTACCAATCCCATAATTAAGCCGGCGTCATTGTCATTGGCACGTTAACATGGCGGGCATTTCTTGTCTTTGGTTGTTTCTCAATCATCCATTTTGAACCCTTCCTCATCTCCCACATTTGACGATGCGTCTCTTTGCTAGCATTGCTCTGGTCAGCGGCGTCTCGGCAGTGTCACCACTTGTCGACCTCGATTATTCCACATACGAGGGTACGGCACTGTGCAATGGAATCACTCAATGGCTTGGAGTGAGGTTTGCTGCACCTCCGATCGCAGATTTGAGGTTCAAAGCACCGCGAGATCCTGTTGTGACGAATGCGACCCAAGAAGCGAAAGAGTTTGGGAAATTATGCATGTCTACCGGAACCAGTCCGCCAGATGACAGTTATGATGAGGATTGTTTATTCCTGAATGTGTTTGCGCCTTCGAATGCGACCAAGGATTCTAAGCTGCCCGTGTGAGGCGATCAACCTAACTTCAGAGAAAGCAGAAGATGCTGATATCGTACAGTTACTTTTTCATCCAAGGTGGAGGATTCAACAGTCTGAGCAATGCCAACTACAATGGATCCGGGATTGTTACTGCAGGCAACTTCGACATCATTGTCGTCAGCATAAACTACCGAGTTGGTCTTTATGGCTTTCTAGCAGGTGAAGAAATCATGAAGAACGGTGGCACGACGAACAATGGTCTCAGAGATCAGCGCAAGGCCCTCGAGTGGACTCAGAAGTATATCAGTCAATTTGGAGGAGATCCTAAGCACGTCGTCATGGGCGGTGATTCAGCTGGTGCTCAAGCTGTGACGCTCCAGGTCACTGCTTTCGGAGGTAGAGACGATGGATTGTTTCAAGCCACTGCAGCAGAGTCTCAATCTTTCTCTGCTCTTCGCACGGTCAATGAAAGCCAATTCGCATACAACAATCTGGTCATCAGAACTGGCTGTACGAGTGAAAATGACACTCTTGCATGCCTCCGCAACCTCACAACCGCCCAGATCCAAGCTGTGAACATCATCACTCCATTCCCAGGCGCCCAGCAAAACCCGGCATACCTATACGGACCAGTCCTCGACTACGACTTCGTCAGCGACTATACCCTGCGAGCCTACAAACAAGGCAAATTCGTCAAAGTCCCAGCAATCTACGGCGACGACACAGACGAAGGTCCCGCTTTCGCTCCCCGAAACACATCCTCCTACGCCGAAGGCAACATATTCCTTCAAAACAACTTCCCAGCCTTCACCTTGGCCCAGCTAGGCCAAATCCCAAAATTTTACCCAGTCGAAGGCACCCCAACATTTCCTAACTCCGGCCGCTTCTGGCGTCAAATCGGCAACGCATACGGTGAACTCCGCTACACCTGTCCAGGAATCTACGTCAGCCAACAAGTCGCCGATCACGGCGCAAAATCTTGGAATTATCGTTGGAATGTCATTGATCCGAAAGATGCTGCCGAAGGACTTGGTGTCAGGCATACCGTTGAGATTCAGGCGATTTGGGGAACGGAGAATACTCAGGGTCAGGCTCCAGATTCGTATAAGCCGGGAGGAGTCAATGCTGCTATCGTGCCTGTGATGCAAGGCTACTGGACGAGTTTTATTCGGAGTTTTGATCCGAATATGCATCGCAAGGCTGGGACGCCGAGGTGGGAGCAGTGGGGAGAACAGCGGAGGCTGATGTTTCAGACGAATTATACGATGATGGAGAGTGTGCCGCAGAAGCAGAAGGAGAGATGTGGGTATTTGAGTAGTATTGGGGTTCATTTGATGCAGTAGACGGGAATTCGTAGAACATCTGACAGAATTGTCATGAGATATATGAGAATTGCTGTGGGCTTGACGAGAATAGGAGTCCACTGACAAAGTATTCTAGGACAACTTCAGGTACCAAGGCGTTGAATTCGCCCGTTTTCATCACCATTCTCCTTTTGTCTTCCTCATCAATCGGCTTTGGCGCACCTGAAGCGATCGATCATGGAGGGTTCTGGGTCCCAACTGCGATGCCAAAAATTAGCGGAAGAGCAGTATCTTCGTTCCGCAAGACTTACGGCAAGCCTACCACTTCGCCAGGTTGAGGAGAGGCCTCATTTGTATGACATGCCATGCATGTCGAGGTTCGGAACAACTTGGGTCTTCCAGCCCCCTGTGAGCAAAAATTTCATCTGCGCCGTCAGGACAATCGAAACCTTTTGCCATTTCGATGCTGCTGCACAATGTCCGGACACTGGATATTCAAAGCCCATATGAGGTTCAACAAGGTCTGGCCGTTATCATCACTCCGACAGACCGAATCAAAATCGTCATATGTAGTCAAAAGTAGCACGTCAAATATCCTGCGGCAGGGGTCCATCTGAGGATTTTCCAGGGCGAGGAATTTTACGATACGGAAGGAATGAGCTTGAGGCCTTGCTGCAAGTGAGCTCACTGCATCGATGTCATTGCGCCTTCTCCTATCAATTCGGTAGCCCGCTCCTTCACTCAAGCAAACGCCTCAGCCCATCCCCGAACCAGCACATTACCCGCCTCCTTCCTTGTTGGCCCATCACTTCCCAAAATTCTTCTCAATTTTCTTAGGAACATCTTCAAATGCCACCCCGATCTTGTTCAACGTACAGCCCGGCCCTTGAGGACCCGGATCATTCAAACCCTCCACCTTCCTGACTTTCTCAGCCAGAACCTCCAGCACGGTACCACCGACATTTTCCGGATGAGTGATTAGATCCAGCATGACCTCGGTGACCTGATGTTTTGTGACCCACTTGTCTTTCTCATCGTCAACCCAATCGAGACGATCTTTGGGCCAGAGAGGTGTTTCGACGATGCCTTGATGTCATGAGCGCCAAAGAGCTGTCAAGCAAGAATGAGGGAGAGATGCTTACCCGGAGCCACAGCATTAACACGAATCCCCTTCATCGGTTCAAGTAGAGCCAAACTGCGCGTGAACGCAGCAATAGCATGCTTGCTCGCACAATACAACGGAACAGGAAAAACCGTCATTTGTGCAGCAATACTCGCAATCAAACAAACAGCTCCCCTCTCCAACTTCTGTCGCAGAAAATAATCAATCGCAAGCTGCGTCGCCCGAACCGGATGCGCAAGATTAATATCAAAAACCTTGTAACTCGACGTCTCATTCGTGTCTTTCCCCGCATTGAACTCCCAGAAATTCGTCCAATCCTATTGATATAATCTCATCGTCAGCAACTGTAGCTAGCACTCACTCACTCCCTCCCTCCCTCCCCTTCTCCTCTCCATACTCACCGGCTCAAAAACCCCCGCCCCAGGAACAACAATATCCAACCTCTTGAACTGCCTCATGGCCAAATCAAAAGCCGCCTGCAACTGCTTCCAATCCGTAACATCACTTTTCAAAAACACCACTCTCTGCTCCTTCCATTCCGAAACCAACTTCTCCGCCTCAGGCGTCAATTGCAGATCTGCGATCACGACATTGCCGCCACGATGTAAAATCTTCTTCGTCAAGTCGAGACAAATTCCAGAGCCTCCTCCGGTGATTAATGCAGTCTTGCCTTCGACGCTGAGGAATGCCATAGTTGTGTTGTTGTGCTGTGCTGACTGGCGGTGGACTGACGGGTTTCTTTGTACTGCCAAAGGATCGACTCCGCACAGCCGAACAAAAGCTCGCACTCGCACGACAGTAAGAGTAAGGTGCTGAATTAGAAAGTGAGCCGTCAAGTCGAGACCAATAGCATCTGTTATTAAACGCCAAAGATTCCTGGCCTAGGAATGAGTGGTGTGCGGTCAGCGTGGGGAAAGCTGCTTATATGGAGTTAAATTTAACTATGCTGTCTGTACCTTGGGAAGTAACGAAGAGGGGCCCAGGTATCCAATGCTTTGTCCGATTCTGACATCGCTACTCGCAAAGAACTCGAGTAGAACTGTGCGACTCGTGTCAGCAGACTTCGAATTTTCGGAAGGAAATGGACGACACGTCCTGTAGAAGAGCAATTTCATCACATCATTCTCTACGGATAGAAAGAAGAAGGGTTTCCTTTCTAGTCATCAGAAACCGTCCTCAATTGATCGGCTCAACAATCTGGAAACGCTTCGCTTAGACATTAACAAGGCTCCGCCCATCATACTTGTGTATTTGTGCCCGCTTTCCAGACTATCCCAATAAGCCAACCGATACCGCTTTCCATCCTGAGAAGAAGACATACGAGAGATTCTGACCCAGGCCGCGTGTTCGATCCAGTGTTGTTCAAGTAAGGAAAATACGAGAATGTTTGTTATCCGTTCTAGGGAGTGTGGGTGGAACTGTAAATGGAAACATGCTTGGTGTGCTGATGATATGGCTCACGTCCGTGACGAAGCCGTTCCATGAGCGTGTGTGTGATACCCGGGTCCGTGATTGTGGCTGCTAAAGCGTGAGCCGAAGCTGGAGTGCTTGCCGCTGCGATTTCTGAGTGATGCGACGTCGTGCCGACCTACATGATTGTTAGTCATGATCTCTCGCTTAGCTTTAATCGCACGCTTACCATCGCAGCATGCCCTGACATTCTCCAGCCTGTCAGCATCTCGCTCTTGTTGCTCGATGACAGCTCGAAGATCTTCTGCGCTGTCGGCGATAATGCTGGCATCATAAATCCCTGCTGGATCCGCAGGATCATCTCGCCGAACGCTGGCGCTAGAATGGGCACGCTGACTGCTGCCTGGCCTGAAGCGACTAGTTAGTGAACTCATTCGAGCGCCCATGCTGCCGGACGAGACGCGAGATTCTTTGGGAGTTGTTCCGGCCAGCCTTTTGCTTTGATGGTTGAGCGACGGCATTTGCAGAGACATGGCTGGGACGGCGTTTCTTGACGTCTGGCGAAGAGTGGCGTCATTTCGTGGAAGGCTGTTAGTCCTCGTTGTCCGGCTGTTGTAGCTGCTCAAGCTAGTCCGGCGACTGTGGCGGCTGTGGCGGCTTTGGCTGCGTCCAGTGGCAGTGCCAGCCATCCTGCTGAAGCTTTGCCTCACTGTCTTGCCGAACCCAGGGTTGAACTCATCAAGCTCATCTTGCGACATCGTGTCCTCTTCTTCAGCTTTTTCTCGCTCCGTTCTCAGAAGCAGGTAGGAGAGTGCATTGAACCATGTCTCATGTCTTTGACCAGTAGGGGCGGTGAAGACGATCTCGCGGCCAGGAGTGACGACCACAAGAGACTTCCTATGTAGACCAGGAGGATATGCATTGTCGTCCGAAACGACGCGGACAGCTTCAATTGCGACACTCTTGGCCTTCAACATCGACTTGCCAGCCGTGCTTGGGTCCTGCTCACTCCAGTACAACGTTCTAGTGTAAGGATGGACCCAGAAGAATCGTCTGTGTCGCGTTGTGGATGTTTCACTCCTGCCGGCCTTGCGCGTGTATTTCCAGAGGTACTCACCAATCATGGTCTGTGTGATAGCCTGGATCATTCGCGGATCTGTTGATGGCGTCACATCTGCTGGGTACATGATCTGACCTCTCGTTATGTTGAAGCGTTCGTCCAGCTCGGACGCAAAGGAAGACATCGACGTTCTATGCGATATCCTATCTGACTGACTGGCGATAGCACTGCGGCTGTCTTTTCGTCGAGGAGGGCGAGGCGTTGTGGAATCACGCGAATGGATTGCTCGCTCAACGTATGGTCGTCCTCCAGGCGTGTTTGGACGCGGTCTGTATGCTGACGCAGGCATCGTTGGGGGACCCATAGTACCCGCCGAAAATGCTGTAAGTGGCACAGCCGGGTTCTGTTGAGCTGCAGCGATCTTGACATTGTGATCTGGAGGAAGTGGAGGCGCGCTGGCGGCGTCTTCACGACGGAGACTACCCGCACTCGCTGGCCGCTTGGCTTTCTTCAAGGTCGGTGACTCGTAGATGAAAGGTCGAATCTCAGGGTTGATCTTGTCTTTCTTCGAAGGCGTGGATAGGGCAGCTGCAGCGGCTGCACCGACTACTGTACCAGCAACGGCACTCTTGAATGGCGAGCTTCCAGCATCCTTGAGTGAAGGAACGACAGCCTTGTCCTTGATCATTGTATCAATGTCCTGACCGGAAACAATAGTCTGTGAGCCCTCGTCGGCCATCGCGCTCTTCGAAGTCACGTTCGGTGAGACATCGCCAAGTGGCTGTCTTGTGTGTATCGCTAGGCCGGCTGGAGAATTATCTTTCGACACATCTCTGTAGACTTGAATCTCATCATCGCTTGCGCCTGCGAAGACTTGTGAGTCTTCCGCGGTACCATCTGACTGACTTGCGAATCGCACGTTGCGTTTGAATCCTGGTGTCTCGATTGCCTCGTCTGAATCGTCTCCGCTGAGCGGGAGATCTTGTCTCCTAGAGCTCCTTTGGGGTAGCATAGGTGTCACTGGCTCTGGTAGCACAGGTGTCAGCTCTTGAGAGAGCACGTCTGAAAAGGCCAGCTGGACAGGTATTGCTGGAGGCGGCGCAGCAGGCATTGGTGGCACATCAGAAGTGACTTCAGTAGAACGCTGTGCGCCATTGACGACTGGCATTCGACTGGTATTAGGTGGTAGTGGCCACATCTCAGGCTCAGTCTCCTCCGAGATGACTGGAGAGGGATCCGTGGAGACAAGAGGAAGATCTTCGACCACAAGTGTCTCCGGCCCAGCATCGGCATCCGTTTTCATGCTGACCGTGACGGGAAGACCGCGTGCATCCGTACTGGTGCTGATCGTCCGCGCAGGTTGTTTGACATCATTACCAGACGTGGTTGTCGAGATGACGCGAGCATCGGTGCCAGTGCTGATGGTGACTGGTATTCCGCGAGCATCGGTGCCAACACTGATCATTTGTTTCGTCTCGGGAATCGGGGCCTGGACTGGCTCAGGTGCACTCGCGACGTCTTTCAAATACGGCTGATCGGCTTCTACCTCGCAGCCATCGCTCTCAGCTGCTTCTTGTTTGTGACCTGCAATTCGACTCAGACCGAAGCCGGCCAATGCTCCTCCAGCAATCTCAGCAGCATGATCCATCAGAGATTGCTTCTCGATCGCAGGCTCTGGTTGCCACGGCTCGGTCATGACACCAGCATCGACCATTACTGGCTTGCTCGCAGTAGCTTCACGGGCAAGCATTGCCGAGTCCGCCTGGTTCTCAAAGTCACGGGCTTGCAAAGCACTCTTTGGGCTGCTGACAGGAGTAGGAATGACCGGATCGACACCCACTTTCTCGTCGTCGTCCATCATGGTAGGACTACGAGGCTCAACGCTGCCTTGTCGCTGCGTGAGTGGCGTCTCTTCGAGGTCGCTGTCCAGGTGCCTGCCGGAAACTGGAGTGCCTTCCATGCTGCCATCTTCGAGTGCATCGAGCTCGTCACCCAGACTCTGCATACCAGCTGGCTGCGGTGTGCCAGTGCTTGAGCTCGGGCTGGCAATGCTAGCTCGAGGAGAATCTGCCATAATGTCGCTGACACGGCCCGATCTCCGTCCACCACGGCCAAGGCGCAGCTTGTACTTCTGCTGTACAATGCTGTGGACTGGGGTCTTGACAATGTCACCGTCATCATCACCAGATGTTGAAGCAGTCGACATGTACGATGAGCGATTACCAGCCTTGTTCTGATAGCTGCTGACTCGTCGCAATTTGCGAGCAGAAGTGGCCTCGGTCTCGGTGGCTTCTCCTTCGGTGTTATTTCCAAGGTCCTCAGCTCCTGTAGCAAAAGCCTCGCTCTCGGTGTTACCTCCTCGCTCAGTCGCGGTTTCAAAGCCAGCATCAGTCTCGTTGGCGGTTTCAAAAGCATCCGTGGTGTTACGATCAGATCTGCCATACGCCTGATTGTATGCTGTTGCAGCTGCAACACCAGCCACGCCAGCACCGGCAATCATTGCACCGATTTTAGGCTTGCTGGGCGTGGCTTCAGCTTCCTGATCCTCCCAGTCTGGCTCGTCGATGATCTCAGTGGTGCTGCTGCGGGCTGCGCCAAGCCTGCTGTTCGAAGGACGCTTGAATTTGATGCCTTCAGGCTCGCTTCGTCTCTTCTTTGCCACGTTCGCAGCTACACCTTGGCTCTCACGACGCGATTCGAGCTCGTCACGCGCGTCTTGCAACATGCGCTTGAGTTCGATCTTCTCAGTCTTCTCCCTATGGATGTTGTTCTTGAGGTTCTGAATCATTCTATGTGCATGATTCAAGCTTGACTTCAAAGTCTCGGACTCGAGCATACCATGGCGCGCTGGTGTGCCTTTGACCGGCGAGGGCGGAGCACTGTGCTCTGGGCTGGCATCGTCGGAGCCGACGCCCTCTTCAGCAGAAACGAAGTCGGTATCGGAGAGCTGGGCATGCTGGTTGAAGCGGAACGATACGGCTTTTGCCAACTCCGTGTTTTGAGAAGCCAGCTCCTCGACCTTCTTCTGCAGCCTGAGCTTCTCGGCATCCCAAGTCGCAGCGTCACGACGCAAACCATGCAAATCGGCCTCTTGAACCTTCTTTGCCATGCCGTTGTCCTCGATTAGCCGCTCGTGCGTGAGCTTCAGCTCATCCAACTCGCGCTCTTTCGCCGCCTTCTCCGACTGCAAGGACTTTAGATTCTGGGCCAGCCTAGTCTCTCTGTCCATTGTCTGCTTCAAATTCGCCTCGATCTCCTGCAAGCGCGTCTCCAGGTTCCAATTCTCATCCTTGTACTTCTGTTCGCTCATATCGTAGTGCCTGAGCTTTTGCTTCAATACAGCATTATCAGACTCCAGTTCAGCTTTCGCAGCGGTGGCGTCCTTCAAGGCGTCGTCCTTCTCTGCCAGGGCAGCTTGATAGTGCCTGACCTCAGCGAGAAGCTGGGTACTGATCTCCGCGGCGAATTCGATGTCGTGAACTCTGTTGCTTGGCTGGTTCCGCTGTCTCCGCGACGGTGCCGAAATCTTGGTTGGAGATTCTCGCCCTGATCCTGAAATGACCCCAGGTTGCGAGGCCTCGGTCTCGCTGGCGACCCTCGACTTGGGAAGAAATGCGCGAGCCGAGTCGCGACCGACTTCATTATACTCACGCTCGAGTTCGGAAAGTCTGCTCTGAAGCTCTGGCGGGATCTCACTGTCTTGCTGCAGCTGCTCTACTTCCTTCAATTTGGCCTCCAGCTCTCTGCGCTGCTTCGTCAAGGTAGTTCCCAATTGACCGGCATCACGCAATCGACGATCTGTGTCCTTGAGGTGTGCTTCCAGTGCGCGTTTTGCAGAAGTCGGGGAATTGGTAGAGTACAGCGAGAAGTGGTCGGTATCGAATGCGGCATATCGCAATGCTGGCGCCGGCTGGGCTTGTAGTGAGCCCGTGAAGGGGTCGAATGAGCCATTGGCGCTCACCGCTCCTGGCGGACTCGCGGCCGAGGCCATATTGCCGTCGTCTTGGAAGAGGGAGTGGTTTGTTGTGATGGAAAGGAAATATTAATGAGTAAAAGGGTTCAGCATGCGCGCGGACTGCGGCTCTGCGGAATGAATGTATGTCTCGTTTCAGAGCAGACGGAGAAGCCGGTCAGATGAACGTCGACCAGGTTTCTTGTGCGGGCGCAGGCGTAGGCGTAGGAACCCGCAGGAAGCCAGCGATGCAAGAAGAGAAAGCGAAGGGTCCGTTGCCCGTTGCCGGGTGTTTGCAGAGGAGGTGTCACTCTGTACACGCGCGACTGGGGGAGGAGCGATGGAGCAAGAAGAGGCCCTGAGATCGCGAACCAGGTGTTTCTCGGCAGAGTGTTGTTTACAGCACGATGCTGCGGGGCGCTCTCGGGACACGACGCAGGCCAAGGGGCAGCGCAACCAGACATTCCAGTTGCGTCGGCAAGTCGGTACCGCCAAGCTCGCCGGCTCGAGGGGTGAAGTGGAGGGAAAATCAATGAATGGGACCAAAATACACCAAACAACAGACGAGAGGAGCAGCGCGAAGGAAAGGCCAAAGAAGGCGAAACAGGACGCGTGAATACAAGACGGAAGGTTTACTGTGCAAAACTCTATCTGTGCTCGGATGCCCACATCCCTGCTCATTCACATGAACCGCCATTGCGAGTGTGCATGGTGTCTCGTTGGTCTTGCGTGTTGGCGCGTTTGTGTGTTTGTTTTCGAAGCTGCAGACTCGCAGTATCGCCTTCATCACAGCAGCTCTGTTCCCCTGCATTGAAAGCGCGACTGCTTGACTTTCGCCGGCGCCGGCGCACGTGGTGAAAGGATTCCCCAGGCAGTGCAGTCGCAGAAGAAACCTTGAAGTGGCGTCCGACAGAACTCTCAACTCACATTATTTGCTTCGACTTGACATAGTATCCTCCGAAATGACTGATATCGCAGCGCCCGTGTTCAAGAAGCGTGCAAAGAACACCAATCTTCGCAAACGACCTGCCACGCCTCCGCCAGAAGACTCAAATTCCGACTCAGACTACACGGACGATGAGCAGGGTGTCCGAATTAAACGGCGCAAGAAGGAAGGCGTGCAAGTAGGAGGCAACGGACCAAAGCGAGCGCTAGATACCAGCAAGTCGACCGCTTTTGAAGCCGATCGCACAACGAATATCACGGCAAACGAGGACGCGACAAAAGCTTCAAACTGGTACACAGATGCTGCGCTTGCTGCCAAAGATGCTGGAAGCAAGACCACAAAGGAGGAGACAGTGGTTCAAGAAGCACCGGACGGAACATATCAGGGTACCGCGAAATACTCAAGTTTCATTCAAAAGCATCCAGATGCACGCCAGGTGGGGCCAGTGAGAGCGCCTACAAACATCAGAACAATCACCGTCACCGATTTTGCGCCTGATGTGTGCAAAGACTACAAGCAGACAGGCTTCTGTGGTTTCGGAGACAGCTGCAAGTTCTTACACGCTCGAGAAGACTATGCGCAAGGATGGCAGCTGGACAAGGAATGGGAAAAGGCAGGCAAAAAGGACAAGCTGGGCCAGAAAAAGAATGACGACGACGGCCTTGACGACGAGGAGAAGATGCTGAAGGAGATCCCCTTCAAGTGCATCATCTGCAAGGGGGATTACAAGAACCCGGTCGTGACCAAGTGCGGACACTACTTCTGTGAAAAGTGTGCCATGCAAAGATACATGAAGGATAAGAAGAAGACTTGTGCCAATTGTGGTGCCGACACGAATGGAAGCTTTGGCATCGCAAAGAAGCTGAAAGACTTGCTGCAGCGGAAGAAGAAGCGTGAAGAGGAAAGGGCAGAGAAAGAGGCCGAGCAGCATGGCGAGTAAGCAGGTTACCCACATCTCTAGAATCCAACTACCAGGGCAATTTGGCAGTAGGTGTCCGCACGATCACTTCGTGCGACTGCTACTCCTTCCTCAGAAGTCGCTCTTCCCTAAGTCATCTCTAACGGCTTTGCAGCTGCGGCCAAATTTCTGCCTGGCTTCAGTTGATTTCTTAAAAGTTCACCGCGACTCATGATCTGAACATCTTTGGTGCCCCACATGAGACGTGTCATTACAAGCAACCATCACCATGGACGACTTCATCAGGTGCGCACAACTTGGACTACGTTGCTTGACTGTCGCTGACTCTTAGACAGACAGCTCGAAGGACCGACAGTTGTGGTCTGCGTCGGACCAACTGAGAAGAGGCGCGACTTCAAAGTTGCAAAGGTAAGAAATCCCCAAAATGGCTCGACTGGCTGTCCTGTGATGTTCATCTGCGAAGGACCTGCTCTTCGAAAAGAGCGAATGGTTTAAGAATGCTCTGAAGCATGAGCGTTTCGTGGAGGGCCAATTCAACATCATTGAGCTTCCGGAGGACTCATCCTCCGTGTTTGCGGCATTCTACTATTTCATCCTTCACCACAACGAGCTCGCTTTCAAGCCGGTCTGCATTCAGGACGACGGCACCGATGCTTGCTGGGAACAGCTGAAGCTATGCATCGATATCTGGATCTTCGGCGACAAAATCGGAATGTACGGGCTGCAAAACGCCGCAATGAAACGAGCATGCTTTCTCATCCAAGAATGCGACATACGCAAGGCTGCGCTTCCTGCTGCAGTGCTCGAAGCCTGTTTCAATAAGACACTTCCGGGCTCACCAATGCAAGTGCTGGCAGCGGATTACGTGGTCAGAAGCATGACAAACGAGCCCGAAAAATCTGCACAGCTTCTGTCTCACTTGGCTACTACCCAAGGCTTCGTGTCAGCAATGCAAGGTTCTCAGGCGCAGTATCATCTTGCAAACTGTGTCAAATATATGGAGGCCTCCTTCCCACGATACGAAGATTTCTACAAGCATCAGGACGTACTGCTCGTGCTTCCTCGAGGGCAAGAGGAGACAGAGTTGCATACCTCGGACGGCCGACTCAACCGATGCTACGCCCATTGTTTCGATTGTGAGGGCGTGGTGGAGGAGATCGACCTCAAGTGTTTGAGCTGTCTGCAAGGCAGCAACGACGAGAAAGTGGCAGCTGTGCCATTGTGCGAAACCTGTGCAAACGATCGGAAGGGCAAGTCTAAGGTCGTCACTTAAGCTCTCAAGTCGCTTCGATATGAGAAGTCGTGGTGAGGAATCGGAGTCAGACCGAGCGGCTTCAACGAGGACTGCTTGTTTGGAGATTCAAAAGTTGGCTCATAGTAACGCAGAGGATCCGATATTAAAAGTGCCTCTTGTGTGATTGAGTACAGGCTTTCCAGACATGCAAAAGATTTCAAACAAACTGTGTGTGACTGCTGCACGCTGGCTCTGTAGTGAGTCTCTATCTCTGCAACGAGTGTTGTAGACCGAGCGTTATTGGCGTCATCAAACAGTGAAGCGATGACCGCCAGCATGGAGTGAGCGAAGTCTAAATTCTCATTTTCACACAAACGGCCTTTGACTGACACAACGCTCTTGCTCTCTAGTGAGTTCCTATCTTTGCAACCAGGGACATGGACAGAGCCTTGTTAATGGCATCAAACACTGCAGTAACAGCCAGTACAAAGTGAGCCACGCCTAGACATCAGTGTCCCAAGTCTTCATGTCTTGGCCTGAGTTTTGCCACAGATTAACCTGCGGTGTAAATGCAATGATCGACGGATGCTCGGTGATAAGGATGATTTCGTCCAATGTATAAGCAGATGAGGTCTTCCTAGTCTGCGAGGGCATTCGTGGTTCACGCTACAAGCCTACAACGTGCTTTGATATGCCAGAATGGTCTTCCTTACAGCCATGCACAGCAGTGTAACAAGACTCTTTCGTACAGCTGCCCGAGTATGGTCCAGAGACAGGCTATTGTGCAAGTCCTTGCCAGTTCTTCTGCACGAGAGGAAGGCCTGATCGGACCGGCATTTGGCGTATAGTGCAGCAGCTTCGCGAGCGGCGGGCGATGTGAGTGACGTCTCTGTGTGGCCCAAGAGAGAGGGATGCAGGGTAGAGGTGCATGCTACGCAAGCGCTAACTAGGAAGTGTTGTGGACCGCGGGCGCGTTCCAAGAGTGGCAGCGCAGAGGTCACCTACGTTCGAAAATTTTCGGCTTGGCGTTGCTTAAAAAAGCGAGCGTCCACTAGCTGAGCTATATCAGCTTCCCCGGATTTCTTGGCATAGATGGGCAGATATATATACGCAAAACCCGAGGACGTTCAGCCAATTAGATACACTACTAACGAGGGTAGTAGATGCGGGCGCCCCGAGGCCCAATCGTTAGACTACGCTTTATTAAGGGCCCCTCCGGGGGAGCAGGGGCTAGCCGGCTACTCACAGTGTTTACTATTCTGTATTCCCGAGTAGGACTGTAATCCCCCGACCGTGTAGCTAATTCTACGCTATAATATAGCACACGTTGAAGCTATACGGGTCGGGAATAGGTACTTCCGGAGGGTGTTTGGTTAGCTTTTTTTTTTTTTAAAAAAAAAAGACTAAGGTAGAGGAGATTAACTACGAACAATATTTTATTATTACAATCGTTAAAGCCTAAATTTTAACTACAATCGACGACTATCGGATTTAGAGTCTAGTATTCGGTTAGTATATGTATTAGTATTAATACGATTCTAATAAAAATTATACTATAAGTCTATATATATATATATAATATATAAGATAGTATATATAGCAAGGGGAAATATAAACGTATATATAGAAATTAAATATACTAGTTAAGGGGATATATTTATAATGCTAGTATATAATATATTATAAGAGTATTAGGATAGATTAGGACAATATTAGTAGAAACTATACCGTTATTACCGGACAACTTAGTCCGTTATAAACCCTAGATATATTCGAAAATCAAAGAAATATATACGTTTACTTAAATTATAGAATTAGAGCCGCGCGAGTTAGTACAATAGTCTAGCAACTTGTTAAGTTACTTAGATAGGAACTCGATAATAGAATTTCCTCTTAGTAGTTATAGCCTATTATAAACGCCGTCCAAGTACAAAACTATATATAGTAGATTAATATACAAAGTACTCCTCCTCGAAAGTTGAAACCTAACTCCGATATAGCGCCGCCTAAGCACAAAACTATATATAGTAGATTAATATACAAAGTACTCCTCCTCCTCGAAACCTAACTCCGATATAGCGCCGCCTAAGTACAAAACCATATATAGTAGATTAATATACAAAGTACTCCTCCTCCTCGAAACCTAACTCCGGTATAGGACTACTACCTCCTATCCCACCAGCCATTAGGTACTCCTCCGGGGGCCCCTCCGGACGGGGTATAGTAGGCGCTCTTCGCCTCGGTAGTAACGTAGGGCTAGGATCCGCCGGGCTAGGTAATAAATCCGGCGATACCGAGCCACCCCATAATTCCTCCTGCGTAGTTCTATGCCGTAACGGACTCCTCTGCCTAGTATCCCTTAAAGACGGCCGGAGGATAGGTAGAATCCGAACCGGCGAAGGATCGATACTCTTACGGAGGGTAGAAGGTATTTTCCTAGTCGAGACTGAAGGAATAGACCTTGGCGAACTAAAGGCTAGACTTTGTGTACGTATACTACGTAGCGTAGTAGTAGGGCTAGTAATTTCGATAGATAGGAGTTGCTTCGTCCGTTCTAGCTAATCTAGATCCCTATCTTTCGTAATATCGGAGATACTAAAAGTAATATCCGACTTTACAAAGTCTTGTTCGATAGCGAGGTCCTTATAGGCCCTAACCCTCGATAAGGCTACGTAGAATGCCCCGGGAGATACTTGCTTCTCCCTAAGGTTTACGACAACCCGATCTAAAGTTATACCTTGCGACTTATGAATCGTAATCGCATAGCAGGTTACTATAGGGAATTGCTCGCGCCATTGTGTCTCCGTAGTACCGTAAGTACCGCGTGCCCTCCGTACGGGAAAGATAGGCACAACCGCACCCTTCCGGGCCCCCCCCCGAGCGTCGATCTGCTCGTTTAGTCTAACCCTACGAAACTCGGGAAAATAAACGAGTAGACAGCGAGGCATAGTATCCCGGGGACTCTCTACGTCCTCGTCCTAGAGAATACTATATAGTTGGCCGCGGCTACTATTAACTAAACCCATCTCCGTCTAGATATTCTAATATAGAAGTACCGGATATCTAATAACTAAGTATAGCTCGAAATAGAGTCCTTGAAACTCTTTCTCGTCAAGCCGACTACTCGAAATAGAGTCGTGCTTAGCGCTAATACGAAGTATCGGATATTCGCTAGCTAAGAGTTGCGTACGATTAAACTGCTCTACCGTAGTACGATAGGAGTAAAGCCGGATAGCAGACTTAAAGTCTCTCTGTATTGCCTCCCCGAAGGGCGTAAACGTACGCTATCTAAGAAGATTATAGTGCCTATCTTCTACCTTATTAACCCGGACGGCTTATAGGGCATCCTTAAATTATAGGGCAGTCTTATCCTACCCGGATTGCCGGACAACCTGTAATAAACGTAGCGTATACTTAAAGGCTCGGTAGCAATTACGACCGGAGATATCTATAGCGTTATATAAACGCTTAGTAGTAAAGAGAGCGGTAGCCGCGACGGGCGGAAGCTAATAGAAGTCCCCGGCTAGAAGAATACTAAACCCGGCAAAAAAGTCGGTAGAGGCCTTAGTTTCAGGAAAGATCTCGAATAGGCGCTAATTAATCCAACCTAGTAGACGAATACTAAGCATAGATTTCTCGTTAATTACTATAAAACGCACTCCTTCTAACCGTCGGCGGCAGACCTTTCTAGCCTCGTCTCTAAGTTCGTCTAAGATAGGATCGACTTGAATAGGTAGATTAAAGAAGGAATGAATAGTATAGCTATCGATATTAAACGCCGCTGCCCTAGTAGGGGCAAGTCTAACAATAGGACTTCGAGTACTACCTTCAGTACGCCGCGTAAGAGCCTGTAACCGAGCCGAGAGTAGCTCGATTACATAGGACTTTCCGGTACCCGCCTCGCCGTCGAGATTAATTAATAGCTACAGGGCGCCTTCAAAGTTAGCGGGCGCCCCTAAGCGGGTACCGAATAGAAACTCTCGGACAAACTGTTCGTAGTTCTTAACAAAGACACTATATACTGCCGCTTGCCCCGGATTTAGTGATAGATAGGCGTTAGATACCTAAGATTCGATATCTAAATTCGAGGTCGAACTTTCCTTTAACCGCCGCTAATAGTTATTCCGAGCTAGCGGTTCGTAAACCTCGGGTATAGTATCCTTAAAACGGCTATAGTAGGGACTCTAGTTAGCAGAAATATCAATACCCCGCTGTCCTAACTCGAGCTCCTCGCGAATCCGATTATTATCGCTAGGATACTCGTTCCCGAGTTCGTTAAATATAGCCTCCTCATCCTCGGTAATAGGATATTCCTCCTCGAACTCGTCCTCAAAATCCTCGTTCTCCTCGGCTAGACGGCCGTAATAGTCCCTCCTAAGTGTAGGATACTGCGACTCCCGGCGCTCTAATTCCCGGTAGGCAGCCGGCCACGTAGTATAAGAAATAGGCGAGTTTGGGAATCGGAAGGGTAGTACTGGATATACTATCTAAGGGACGTGTAGTACAACCTTAAACCGACAGTACTACGCGTACTTCGGATCGCTAGTATCGCTAGGATATAGCGGGATATAGCGAAGAATCCGGTCGGGATTTCTATCCGCTAACCTCGTAGGCGGATTCCGGCCTAGATTAAATCTAGTCGCGAACTCGAAGAGCGAAACAGTAGCGTATACTTCCTGTCGATCGCTATACTTTATATAGATCGTCCTACGCGCAGTCTGCTAGGGGTGCCCCTCGCCGAGGTCGTTTAGCCCAAATAGTACCTGTTGCTCTGCCTGCGGTCTACAGTCGAGGTTAACGAACTACCGCGTACAATCTACTAAATTATAACCTAGTAGAATAAACGAAACCTCTTATGCGGACCAATCTCTTTCAGAAACTAGCTTATTAAGTAGCTTAGCGGCAAGCGAGACTAAGGGCCTCCTATCAGATATACGGGGCAGGATATCCCGTATAAGTTCTGAATAGGGCTTTGTAGCAACCTCGGCTTTCGAACAGTACTTAACAATATATTGTAGTACTGCCTTAATATCGGTATACGGAGTAAGATCGGTATTCGCTCTCTAGGCCATCGTTAAAAGGGGATTAAAGTGATTAAGGTTCTAATCGTTACACTCGGCAATATATGTAACAAACTTGTCGTTATAGCGATTAGAAACCTCGGCCCTCTCTAGGATAGTACGCGGAAAGTGAAACCGGCAATATTTCGTAGTATCGGCCGCATCTTATCCCTTCTTACGGCGTAGGCAATAATCGTTACACGAGTGCCGCTAAAGTCGGTTTACAAGATCCGAGAGAAACTCGAGATTGTTTTCTATTTCCGAGGTATCCGAATTTATAGCACTACGGCCAATAGGGGCACCCTGCCGACTAGTATCCGGATTTAAGGCAACGATATGTCTATCCCAACGTGTAGCAAGTGCCGAACGCCCCTCGTCAGTAGTAACACTAATCGATAGTAGCTCGTCTATCTAAAGAAAAAAGTGCGCATAAATACTACCTCTCCCTTGAAACTCAAACCGAATCTATAAGTCAGATACCCTAAATTTAGGCTCTAGGACAGTCTTAAACAAGAGCTTTAACCGACGCTTAAATAGATCTACTACGATATGCGGATAGTCCTTAAGAAACTCCCGTACTAGACGGATAGAATCGGCCGAACTACCTGTTTTCTATTCGTTATAGAACGGACTTAACCGAAGTAAATAGTCCTACTATAGATCGGCGGGACTACAGGTTCCAAAAAGCGCCGGATATCCTAGAGACCGAACCATCGCTTCTAGTTCTATTCGGCGGGCGCCTATATACGGCCTCGTACCAATTAGGGACCGCCCGTGCCTTGTAATTGTGTCTAAAATAGACTTAGAATCCGGGGACTCCGGGTTTAGTAAGGCCTCCCGTAGTTGCTCCTTTATAAGGCTATTAGCAACTTCGAGACTACGGGCAAGGTACGTAGACTAGCTACGAGTTAAGCTTCGGTAATAGATATTAAATACCGTATACCGCCAGCTAGTATGGGAACCAAATCGACCGTCGTAATAGTATAGTAGGGCTTGAATATAGTCCTTAAAACTAACTGTCCTTTCGCGAGGGCTATAAAAATCGCCCTGCCCTATAGGATATAGGTACGGAAAGGCAAGTGATAGAAGGCTACTATTAGTATCCCACTCGTCGATAGGTCGCGCCTGTAAATGGGGCTACGTTAAGTGGGGTAGACTGCGAGGCTAGGCTAATCGATGTAGACTCGTCCCGGGGGGTCCCCGGCTAACTTCGGTCGGATTCTAGGGGCCTACCCGGCTAACCTCGGGATTATCCCCCCCTACTATACTCTCTACAGACCGTAGGTTATCTAGTAGGGTTTGATTAGGATCCCGGGTTTGCCCTAATTGCGGGACAGCGGCGGTTTTAATAGGAAATTCCTCGTCCTCGCCGGTAGTATCTAAATATTGTAGCCGATCGCTAGTAGTAGTTTCATCGGACTCTACTAACTCGGTTTGAATTTGACCTAATACGCTATTATCTTGCGGAAGCTGAGACAATAGCGTAGGGTCTATTTCGATATTAGAATATCCGGGATAATTATCCTTTAAATACTCTAACTATAACTTAATAGCCTGCCTACGAACGCGGAATTCGCGATTAAAGGACGCAATCTTATTAGTATTTAGGTTCCGAGGCCTAAGTAATAGTATATCTACCTTATTAGGTAGTCGCGGCAGTTTGTTATAAACAGAGACTATATCGCGAAGGAAATAAGCGACATGTCCGCGGTACTTATACTGCTGGCCCCGGACCGTAAGTACGTTAACGGCAGTATAGACCCTAGCGATTAGGAGCTGTTCTATATCGCTAAGCTTAGGCAAATCTACCGGTAGCTCGCCCGGGTCCATATTATTTGCCCTAGAGAATAGGGGAATTCGAGGGGGGTTCGACTTAATAGCCTTTAAACAAGAGCTACAAGCGCCGGTAGTAGGATCTAGCTTAAGATCTAACCAGCGGCGGGGGCATATTTGACACCGTATCCAAGATATAGTATCTCCCTGTCGGCTAAATCGTATACACCGGTCGAAGTCAGTATTAGATAGAGCCGGTCGAGTACGACGTTGTTCTAGTGTTTCGGCGTTTTTAAGGCTAAGATTACCCTTATCTAGTTCGCGAGTAGCCTGGGCTGCCTCGCGAATTCGATTAAGAGAACGCCTATTCATTCGAGACCTCGACGACTCGGAAGCCCTACTAGAGCTAGGAATCGTAGAGGGAAAGATACCGTGTTGCCGGCAGTAACCATATTCGAGACTACCGGCCTGAAATTCCGATCGGGTAGTAAAGTGGCTACCCGTTTCGCACTACTTTAGCTTAGTAGTAATATCCGAAATACCGGGATTCGAACAATACGAGCAGAGGGTAGAATTAACTACCCGACATTCTCTATAGGGCCGAGGTATATTACAGCCGCTACAGGTAAATGAATTTATATCGCGGGCAAGTAAGGGAGCCCTAGTAGATCGTAACGCCCGATTTGCGCGGTCCTCTCTCGCGACAGCCCGTCTTTGCTCCCTTTCAATAGAGGTTTCGTCCCGACCTCTCCGATAAATATTAGGGGCTTCTACGTTAATAGTAGGGCTACGCGAACGCCTTTGTAGCCGCCTTTTGCGTGCCTGTTTCTCGCGACATGTAAGACAGGTCTTATAGGACTGCCTACCCTCTCGATTAAAATCGCTTAGAGGTCGTTGTGTTTTATACCTCGAATATTGTTTTTGTACTCGATCCCGAGTAGTATCCGAATTAGAATCTATATTATATAGATCCTAGGTAAATTTCGATCTAGGACCGTAGTAAATGTACCTAGTTTCCCTCGGCGAAAGGGGTTTTTAAAGGTATACTCCTTGACGTATATAAGACAGTAAAATAGTTCCTTTAAAGAATCTAAAATACTACTCCTATATACATATCCTCCGAACGTACTAGGATACGATTTCTATATAAGGCGGTTCCGCTCCCAAAGTAGGTCCGCTAGCCGGCCACTTTTATATAGGAAACCCTTACTTCGGGGGCGACCCTGCCTCGCGAGCGCTCTTAAAACGCGCGCAACTCGTAGACTTAGCGAAAATTGTACGTCTAGTATAAAAAAAAGTCGATATACCTACTAGACGCCCTAGAGCCTTACTATAGCCCCTCCGATTAGGCTAATATTTAGTACCCTATAGGCTAGTATATTAGGGCGCCTCTAGACTAGATAGCTATAGAATACGGAGTATCCTATATATATCTCGATAAATACTAATCCGATTTCAATAAAAATTACACCGTTAGAACCGCGCGGGTCGGTTCTATTAAACGTGAAATTTTTATAGAAATCGACCACCTTCGAATTTGGTATTAGTAGGTATTGGCTAGTGTTAGCTCTAACTTCGGCGGTTAATATCTTAATGAATATTGATTCGATTTCAATGAAAATTATACCGTTAGAACCGCGCGGGTCGGTTCTATCAAACGTGAAATTTTTATGGAAATCGAGCTATTAGCTCCTACTTTATAAGTATATAGAGAGTATTAGTTTCCATTCTATATATATCGGCTAGTTGGTCTAGTAGTATAATTCTTAACCATTAATGATTCTATTTCTCCCGGCTATACTACTTAATATAGTCCCCGCTATATAAAGGTATATGTCTTAAAGGAGTTATAAGATCGATGGGGGTTAAGAGGTCGTAGGTTCGAGTCCTATACTAGCTATTTTTTTTTATTTATACGTAATTAATAGGAAATATACTTATCGTAGGTTCGAGTCCTACACTAGTCCTACACTAGCTATTTTTTTTATTTATACGCAATTAATAGGAAATGTACTTAAATCTTGAATTAAATATTACTACTATCAAGCTAATACCCTAGCTAATAAGCTAAGAAATCCGGGGTAAGTTAAATTCCCCTTTAATCTTTGTTTCGATTGACGTTCTACGCTGAAATCCGGGGTAAGTCAAATTTCCCTTCAATCTTTGATTGCATATTACTTCTGCGAAATTTCTCAGCCAATCATTTCGGTCTTGGCGGACAACTTGGATTTTCGCGGGCGGTGGCCGCGGTGTCTAGATTGGCAGCTGCGCTGCCAATAATGCAGGCAGCTCTGGAGACGTGCGCCCTGTGTACCGTTCAGCTTTTGATCCTCCCATCTTGTGAACGTGGTTGTTGGTCACCTGGTGATTCTTAGCGAGCTCATTTGCTTCTCGCCGAGCCGTGAAGATCATTGTGGTGCGTGAGACGATTCCGTCTTCATCCACAAGTTCTCACAACCCATACCACCTTCAGCATCGGGATGCCCGACTCCGCGATAGTCGGACGACTGGTTGTGGACTCGCTGTGCTTTGACGCACGAAGCTGGTAGTCGTTGCCTTCAGCGTTTCACTATTCTTTGACCCTCACATGCTTCACATGCCGCTCGCGCCGTTCACAAACAATGAGCACGAGATGAAACACTGCCACATTGACAGAGCTGTGACAATCTGTCTCTCGCAGGGTAAATCACGGGATTGTGGCACTAGGATGCTGGATTCACAAGTCTAGGGTCGCATGACAGGCTACAACCTCCTCGTTCATTTACACCTCTGCAGAGTAGTACGCCATCGCCATACATCATAAGCTGCTGTCCGGTCTGTGAGCTGCGCACAGCATTGCTCTTGCATCCGACGGCGTACGGGGCATTGCTATAGTATTAGCAATACACATACACATGATAGAGGCGGCGTAGACAGGAGATGCCAGCCACGGTGGGGTGCAGCATTTCCGCTACCACAATCCGCAATGCCTAAGTCAGTGGCATCGTACCACAGTCTGGCGTCTGCACGCACCGACGACGACGATGACGATCACGAAATAGACGAGCACCAGGCTGAGGCAATTCGCAATGCATATCGGAACGCGTTCTCGAGCCAGCAACAACAGCAACACAACATACACTCACATACACAACCGGTCTCGCCCGTCGATACAAGAGACCGCGGAACAGCACGACGCCAGCAGTCCGATGGCGAGCTCCGCCTACGAGTGCCTTCTCGACATGCCTTAGACGAGCGATCAGGTCTGCTTGCCAACCCAGACTCAGCACCAGGCGGATACAAGAGCATCCATGGAGGCACCAGTGCTCCTGGCACGCCTCGGTATGGCTTCGCACGAGCGCATAGCTATATTAACTCTATTCGCGGAGGCAGTCGACGAAGCTCGTTTGCCCGTGGCTTGATGAATGCTTTGGGTGGTCAAAATCAGGATCCGGAAGCTCGAGGAGGCCGACTTGGGACTCGAGAGAGGCAGAAGCTATATTGGGATGACCGTGTATGGTACGATCAATTTACATCGACCGACTGGGTGCATGACAGCATTGCGGATGCTTATCGTGTGAAAGAGCTTCGGAGCAGGCGAGACTTCAAAGGCAGAGTGCATGCATTTTTCGATGGAGCTCAAGGATGGCTCTTGGTCTTCATCATTGGATGCATCACTGCTGGTTTTGCCTATATGATCGATATCACAGAAGCCACGATTTTCGACTACAAGAGCGGCTATTGCTCAACAGCATGGTGGCTCAACAAGCGAAAATGCTGCAGTGGTGCCAGCATCTGCGACGAATGGTCACTATGGTCGAGTCTCTTTAACCGGGAAGGCGAACGCGAGATTTGGGTTGACTTCGCAGCGTTCATACTCTGGTGCGTGGGGTTGTCGCTCATAAGCTGTATCATCACTCTTCAGACCAAGACCAGCATTTCGTCTGCGATCTCGCTGTCGACGCTGGACGAGAACCTGGCTGCAGATCACCACGATCCATCCAAGTCACGCTCAGAGGGCGGACCACTTAGCGGATACACAAGTGGTTATGTCAGCCCAACCCAACGCTTCAAGGAGGCAGTACAGCGGCCGCCAGTGACCTACTATCCTGCCGCTGGTAGTGGTGTAGCAGAAGTGAGGGTCATTCTTTCAGGCTTCGTGTTGCACGGCTACCTTGGTCTACGCACGCTGGTGTGCAAAACCGTCGGTCTTGTTCTCAGCGTCGGATCTGGATTGTCAGTCGGCAAGGAAGGACCCTACGTCCACATTGCCACATGTATTGGCAATATCGCGACACGTTTGTCAAGCAAGTATCGGAACAACGATGCCAAGCGACGTGAGATCCTGTCTGCATCTGCAGCTGCCGGTGTCGCTGTAGCATTCGGCGCTCCCATCGGCGGTGTCCTCTTCAGCCTGGAAGAAGTAAGCTACTACTTCCCTCCAAAGACGCTCTTCCGAACGTTCTTTTGTTGCATTGCCGCTGCGCTCTCGCTGAAGTTCCTGAACCCATACGGGACGAACAAGATCGTGCTCTTCGAAGTGCGATATGTTACAGATTGGAAGTTCTTCGAGATCATTGCATTTGCGTGCATCGGCGTTCTTGGAGGTGCTCTGGGCGCTCTCTTCATCAAAGCTACCAGAATTTGGGCGAAGACTTTCCGTCGTCTCAGCTTAATCAAGCAACACCCCATTATGGAAGTCATGATCGTCGCTGTTGTTACCGGTGCGGTCAGCTTTTGGAATAGGTACACCAGACTTCCGGTTGCTGAGCTGCTCTACGAACTAGCAGCACCATGCGACAGCTTCTCGTCTTCAGAATCCGCGTTGTGTCCCACCGAGGACCAGATTCCCGCTACCATCCGCTACCTTGTGATCGCTTTTGTGGTGAAAGCCATCCTCACGACCGTCACCTTTGGTATCAAAGTGCCAGCTGGCATTTACGTCCCGTCTATGGTGGTCGGAGGCTTGCTAGGACGCATCGTTGGCCACTTGGTGCAGTTGATCACAATCAAGTATCCGGACCTGGCCTTCTTTGGCAACTGCCCATCCGATGGCAATCCGGAGTCGTGTGTTGTCCCCGGCGTCTATGCCTTGGTAGCTGCTGGTGCTACCATGTGCGGTGTCACTCGTCTCTCAGTCACGCTGGCCGTCATCCTGTTTGAACTCACAGGCAGCCTTGAGCACGTCCTGCCATTCTCACTTGGAGTCTTGATCGCCAAATGGACCGCTGATGCTCTCGAGCCGCTGAGCATTTACGATCTCCTGACGGACATGAATGCATACCCTTACCTCGACCATAAAGTTCGGCCTGTGTTTAGCACTGATCTGGGCGACATCACTCCAGAGCCAACGCCAAACAGAGTTATAGACATCACCAACTCAGCTCTGGTACCTGCTAAACAGCTACGCTTCAAGCTGGAGTATCTTCACATGGCAGGAGAGCTGGATGGTGGACTTCCGCTCCTGAAAGATGGAGTTCTGGTTGGACTCATTCCTGGGCCTGATCTCGAGTTTGCGCTAGACAGACTTGAGAGCGAGGAAGACACCATGTGCCTCATGAATGCACACGATCAAGCACTACACGACCTACACATCAATCGACCAAGCACCGCTGCCACGCTGGAGTCAGATGACGAGGATACTGCGCGAGAAGACAGTGGGGAGGAGAGATGGCGGAGAAAGCCAAGCAGAACGGAGCAAGAAGACGATCCCACGGACTTCACGCCATACATCGACCCATCGCCTGTGGCACTCGACATCACTAGTCCCATGGACCTCGTGTTCGAATGCTTTGCTAAGCTTGGCCTTCGATACATCTGCGTGCTGCACGAAGGCAAGTACGCGGGCATGGTGCACAAAAAGGCATTTGTGGCGTATGTAAAAGCTGTGCAAGATGAGCAGAGGTTTGGCGTGGTGAAGGAGGGCATTTGAAAGCATGCGGAGCATTGCATTACGAGTCATGAAAGGGCGTTGGATGTGCATTTCGGTCTTGCGTTCGAGCGAACATTCGGATCATTGTCTTGCAGTTGTCCAGCATTTTCTGCAGACATGGAGAGGCGCAAGCTGGGGATGGAATCAATGTAGATCTGCAGAGAGACCTTTGAAGATGCATGTGGCTTGCGCGAAAGTGCCAGTCTGCCTTCCCAGAGTAATGATGGAAAGTGAATACGCGTCGAGGCTGCTCCGGGTTGCACGCGGCATCCTCCGCCAGCCTCACTTCTGCCTCGATGGGTAAGCACGCCCGGCGTCTTCTCGCTGCTTCGAGACACTGGACACGTCCGCATGAATGTATATTGAGAAAGACACGTGATAGCGATTAGATCAACATTGAAGCGAAGTGGATTGAATTGCGTGCGTGCGTGCGTGCGTGCGTGCGGCCGGAGGAGGAGCGAGGCTTGGAGACGCCACATCGCGCATGCCTCGTCAGTGACGCCAAGCCAAGCAAACGGGCAACAGCAAAGCTCTGAGAAAAGTCACCACCTCACGCGCCGAGTGTTGGAGCCACGGGCACAATTGGAAGGGGAGATCGCACCGCACCAGACTTCACGTCACTACGCGCCTCGGTCGCAGTGCACATCCTCCCAGAGGCCACCCCATCTCCATCGCATCGACGTCGACATCCCACAGGCCCGCAGCAGCCTTGTTTCCCGGAACAAACATATCCCACCACAACAACATCTTAGACTGTTGGGACTCCCGCGCGGAGTTCCGAGAGCACGAGCATCACGGCTTCGTCTCAGAAGAAGCGAAAGCTCGCGCCCTTTGCCGTCCAGCCAACACGAGAGTCCACTCCCTCGTCCGCCTCCGCCTCCGCCTGCGACCCTCCGCTGCAGCACACTTCCACCCTCTACGAATACCACTCCTTGTCGGCGCAGGCACGCTCCTCTCCTTCGTCATCGCCCCTCCACATCACACCGAGCATAGACACTCCCAGTGACGCGCCTTCTCCCGCTAGCAGCAACACCACTGCCACTGCAACCTTTTCTTACGGAGGCCGGGGCTCTACTCCGCCAAGATTCATCCCACCCCACTTACACGACGAGGTACTGCCTTCACGCGAGGCAAGTGAGGCCGGTGGTGGTCCAGGAGCCTTCGATACGGAAATGTCAGAGGGCGAACATGGTGCCGCCGAGCAGCGCCCAAATCAAGTAAGTGCAGGCAGAGCCATTGGCGGCGGCAGGAGCGTGAGTCCAGCAAAGCGAAGGGCAGATGATATGGAGGGCAGTGGCGGTGAGCAGGCTAAGCCGCCTGGTAGCTTCCCTACCGAGCAGGAAGACACTCGGTCACAGTGGGACGTGGAGATGAAAGAGCTGGCTTCTCAGGACGGCGCAGAGTCGCAGGTGACGGTAACGAACAGCTTGGCCAACTCCCGCTTGAGCACAAATTCCGTCAACACTTCAGCGACCAGTCTTGACACTGAGCCCCCGCCTCCTTACTCGAAAGAGGACAACGGGGATCAGTCTTCAAAAATGCCCGTCTTCTCCACAGAGGAGTACGATCAACAGTACGCTCATGTGCTCCAGCTAGCCAATAAAGAGTTGGACGAGGGCACACGAGGAGTGATCGTGTCGCGAAGGTGGCTGGACCGGGTCAGATCACGAAGTACACAGGGCCTCACCAGCAAGAAATATCCGAAAGAAGCCAGAGAGGGCCCGGTTGGACCACTCGACAACAGCGATCTTCTGCCTGAAGATGCTTTTACGGAGCCACACCTGCAAGATGCGGAAGGGGCGCGATTTGTGCCGCTCAAACCAGGTTTGGCAATTGAGGACGACTATCAGCCTTTGCCTATGGAAGCGTACGATTACATTTGCACTACATATGGTTCTAAGCATCCACACTCTATTCGGAGATATGCACACAACACTGCCCCTCCTGAAGCGACTCAACCGAACATCCAGTACGAGACCTATCCTCCTGTCATCACCATTCGAAAAGTCCCGCAACCCGGATCCGACAGCACAAAGCATACGAAAGCGCTCGAGGCTCTCAAGGCCCGGAAGGATCTAGCCCACCGTGGTCAGAAATCATCAGATGACGCGCCTCGACTGGTCTCCTCTAAGTCCGAGAAGTACCAGAAATTCTTGCGGCGCGCAAAAGAAGCTGCTGGCATTCCCATCGCAACAAAAGTCAAAGTATGGCGAGTGAACAAAGCAGACGATGTCTCCGTGGACCGTCCAGACAGCAAGCAGCCGGGAGTTCTTTCGCCTCCAGCCTCTCGCGATGCATCACCTGACAATTCGGCTGCCGTGAAGCTCGTAGTAAGCCCACAAACATTCTCCAAGATGGAGGTCGGCGTTGAATTGGAGGCCACAGAGGGCAAGGACGAGACGAACAACGACAAGTATAATGGCAGAAGCACAATGGAGCTTGTTGGCTTGTTTGAGGATAGCACCATCATACTGGAAGAGCAAACGGGCGGCCCTGGCGGTGGTGAATTTCAGTCCGACAACAAGAAGCCGAAAAGCAGTTTCCTGGCAGCAAAAGGTCGCGGGTCGACACCTGCTTCCACGACAGCATCTGGAAGAACTAGTCCGGCTCCAGGCATGGTCACGAGAGGCAGGGCTCGCAAGGATGGCAAGACTCGCGGCGTGACTGGACTTACCAATCTCGGCAACACCTGTTACATGAACTCGGCCTTGCAATGCATTCGTAGCGTGGAAGAGCTGGCCATCTATTTTCTGACCAAAAAATTCAAAAGCGACATCAATGACGACAACCCTTTGGGCTATCACGGTGCCATGGCGCATGCCTACGCCAATGTGCTCGAAGGTATCTACGGTAGCGGCAGCACTAGCACCTTCTCCCCGAACGAGTTCAAGCGCAAACTGGGTACTTATCAGCCAATGTTTTCCGGCTATGGACAGCAGGATTCTCAAGAATTTTTGAGCTTTTTGGTCGATGCGCTTCATGAGGATCTCAACCGCATCAGGAAGAAGCCGTACATCGAGAATCCGGATTCAGATGATGCCCGAGTCCACGACGCAGAATACATCGTCGAACTAGGCGAGATTTATCGGAACAATCACAGGCAGCGCAACGACTCCATCGCCATGGATCTCTTCAGCGGCTTCTACAAGAATACGATGGAGTGTCCCACGTGCGACAAAGTCAGCGTCACATTCGATCCATATTCGCTCGTCACAGTGCAGTTGCCCATGGAGATAACATTGCAGCACAATATCACTTATGTGCCACTACATGGAAAGCCTGTCATCCATGAGCTCGATGTTGACAAGAACTGGACTATCAAGGCCCTGAAAGACCATCTCGCCAAGAAGCATGCGGGCGCTTCTGCAAATGCCATGTGGATGGCGGAAGTCTACAATCATCAAATCTTTAAAGTGTTCGACGATGCTTCAACGATTGCAGAAACCAACATTCAGAGCAACGACTTCATCTGGATTTACGAACTTGAACAAGCACCGAAAAACAATCCCAAGAAAGTGCACCAGACATCCCTGTTCAGCCGGGACAAGATTAATATCGTGCCCGAGGAAGGCATGGACTCGGCCAAGGCAGACGTCTTCACCGTGCCCATTTTCAATCGCACGAAGTCGGGTCAGAGTCAACTGTTTAGTAAGGCGTTGCATCCGCTATATATCACATTGACTCGTGAAGAAGCCAAGGACTATGAGATCATCCTCAAGAAAGTCCTGATTGCCGTTGCAAACATCACAAGCAGACCGATCTTGACTGAGTTTGATGAAGAGCTCAAGAGCACCGAAGAATCTGGGAGCATCGAGGAAGTGGATGCTGAGAACGATACCAACAGTGCAGAGGATGCAGCTGGCGTCAGTGACCACTCTGCACAGTCCGAGGAAGGCTATGTAAATGTGTCGCTCGACAAGTCATCACAGGACACTGAGATGACGAATGGTGGCCATGAAGTCGCGAAAGAGATGTGTGATGAAGAGACACCTATCCCCGCTAAGTTTATGGATCCTCGATATGTCATTCCTCAAGCGCTGCGCAGCCATCTTTTTGAGGCCAAGTACGTGCCAGCGAGCAACGACAACATGTTTCTGGCTGGTAGCTCAGGCTACACGGACGGCAATCTGTCGCCCATGCTTACCCGAGTCAAGCGACCTTCTCGAAGATCGTCGGTGCAATCCTCTTCTTCGGACGAGTCAAGTACCAGTAGTGCATCTCAAGCACAAACGGAAGATGCTACTGATGATAGTGACAGCAATGGCATTGACGATAAGCCTGATCTTGTACTCGGGGACTCCAACGAGCAATCTAATGACCAGGTTGAGGAAAGCGATGATGAGCTTGCTGGTCCAACAAATAATGCCGAGATCATGGAGCCAAGCCCTGTCGACGGCAATCACCGCTCAAATCGACGGGCAAACAAGCGAAACAGAGGGCGAGGTAAAGGAAAACGTGGTAAAGGCCGCAACCGCAATGGCCCTGTCACGTACAGCAAACAGGACAAGGCTCGATATGGTCAGACTCGCGGTGTGGGCGGTCAATTCGCTGCTAAACGTTTGCAAGATGAGGACTCTCCGTACTACATCCAGATCGGCGAGGGCATCGTTCTCGATTGGCGGCCAGAGGCCTTCGACAGCTTGTTTGAGGGAGATGGAAATGTCGCAGATGATATGCGAGGACACCGCTACGTCGACGACAACGGCAAACAAGGACGTATCTTTCCAGATCCCGAACAAGACGCTAAGCGGCAGAAGCGGGAACAACGCAAGAAGCATGGCGTTGACCTCGACGACTGCTTTGACGTCACTCGTCGACGCGAGATTTTGAGCGAAGGCAACGAGTGGTACTGTAATCGGTGCAAGGAAATGCGTCAAGCCGCCAAGACGCTCGAAATCTGGACCTTGCCGGATATTCTTGTCGTCCACCTCAAGCGCTTTGGTGGCAATCGCTCTTTCCGAGACAAAATTGATCTTCTGGTTGACTATCCCGTGGAAGGCTTAGACATGAACGACAAGGTCGGTCTGAAAGAAGGTGACAAAGACTACACCTATGATCTCTTCGCCGTGGATCTTCACTTCGGCGGCTTAGGAGGTGGTCATTACACCGCCTACGTGAAGAACTTCTTCGATGGAGAGTGGTATGATTGCAACGACTCCTCGGTCTATAAGCTGGGCAGCACGCACAAGATTCAATCGGCCGCAGCGTACCTTCTCTTCTATCGCCGTCGCTCTGACAAGCCTCTCGGTCCCCAGGCTCTTCAGGACCTCGTCGAAGAATACCGCAACCCACCCACGTCAGCTGAGGAAGCCGATGATGAAGACTCGGGGGAAGGCAGGCTCGGCGGCCCAAGTCGTTCATCTCCGCATGGGTCGCCGAGCGTATCAGCAGGAGCCGAAGCAGGGGCGAAGAGCCACCTGAAGGGTCTAAACGGAAGTGGTGGAGCTGGTCGCGCCAGCAGTCTGACAACGAGGGCGACGGAGACGACTGATCTCTCAGGCATGAATGATGGGGGCTGGAGCTTCGACGGCCTCAAGCAGCCTGACGAGGCTGGAACCCTACTGGATCAGATGCAAGACGACAACGCCAGTACAACCGCCGAAATGGATGATCGCGACAGTGCCCTCGGCAGTCTCATCTCAGATGGTGATACCTACAACACTGGTGTGAACAACTCGCCCATCGGAGCTACATTCGTCGACGTGAACGCAATGGACGCTGCTGACGATCCCGACACTGCTATCATTTCGTTGGATGAGAACAGTCATGACAAGATGGATTAGAGCCCCATAGATGGTGCCGAGGAGGTGTCCTTGCCTCGAATACGACAGCAATATGACTCCTGGAGGAGTTGGCGAAGATCTTTGGCAAGAGAGGGCCGCTCGGGTGCTATCACCAATCGGAGGGCATGACGACATCAGATAGCTTCTAGCATTTCGGCGCTTTGCTGCCAAAACTGAGGATTGCAGGCTAATAAGTCAATCCTAGGAGGGATATTTTGCTAGGCGAGAGCAGCGGCATGAAAGGATCAATGGAATGCCACAAAGCGTTGCAGATGCTCAACTCGCTAAGCAGATGCAAGTAGAGGAATATGAAAGACACCACGCAGGCCTGGTCGGCTCAATCTCACACGGACCGCGAAGGTGCTAGCTCGAAATTGACGCCTCTGATGGACGGTACGAAGTTCGGACAATGCATGAAATGGCTTCGAATATTATTGTTGCTTCTCGTTCGGGGAAAACGGCGTGCATGGATACCCAAAGTCTTGGTCTCTGATGTAAACAGAGTTGCCGAGCGTGGAGAGGAGAGGGGTGGGTCGGGTTCGTTACTACAAGCATTATCATCGCATGCATCATGGTGAGGCTCATCGGAGGGTTAGAGAGAGCCATCATAAAGTACATTTCGTGTTCCGAATAGAAAGGCCACTACTATCACGCTTCACCCTGTCGTGTCGACTGAGCTGAACTGGCTCATTTACTTTTTGATTCTCTTCCAAAAAGATTTCCGTACCTTTCCCGTATCAACGTATTGTCTGACTGACTTCTTCAATCGCACTCACATCATCAGTCGTACTCAAAAGCAAAAATAAATTCAAAAGGATACTCTTTCCCCAACTCTTTCGACGACTTTCTTCGCGAATTCATCTGCGACCATACTGATCATCTCTGCTGAAGCACCGGCTGATATGTTTCATGTTCGATTTTCATCTAGACCGAGCGAAGTAGGGCAGAAGTAGTAGTAGATAGTGACACCTGGAAACTGATTTGAAATTTGATCTGATATGCTGAGATGTCGCTCAAATGACACCGCCTTCAAATATGAGAGTCTCGACACGCATTCGTCAGTGCCATCCATATGCCTCTTCATCACGTTCTCGGGCGTCCATGCCCAACATCATAAGGCCCGCTCTGCGGCCCTGAAGTGTTCAAAAAGTCTGCCATCTCTGCCGTGCTCTCAGACTGAGCGCGAGCATCTCGAGGAGCGTCCTTGGGTGGTCCACCCACACTCATTCTTGCAGAATTTTGCCATGCGGGAACATAATCTCTTGCGGAATCATCGCCTCGATAGCCCGTGTCTTTGTAAAGAGTTCCTAGCTCCAACTTTGGAGCGAGATGATTACGGTCCTCTTTCAACCAAGCCTCTTTGTCTGAGACAACCTGCTCGGGCTTGCTCGCCTTCCCTTTGGGAGTGAAAGGGCGAAGCAGAGTCTCGAGCCATGGCTTTGGGTTTCCGTTTGGTGATGCGGAACCCTCATGTTTTTGCTTCTGTGTCTTCTTGCTTGGGAGTATGATGGGCGATCGGGGTGGCGAGGCATGTATCTCCGTAAAATTGCCCAAGCCTTTTGGATTAGGATTGTTGTGGCGCCAGCTTTGGCCCATGGTCGCTCTACGGTCCATTGTCGGCCGAGTGGTGCTTGGCTTCTCTGGTGTTGACGATGATGCCTTACCGCTCGCCGTGCGCCAGATTTTGGCTGCTAGTTTTCGAAGAGCAGGGAGACAGCAGCAGATCATGGAAGTGTTCGATTCGATCTCAGTCCAGATGAGTGCCGGCATTGATCCCCAGGTTGGATCTGCAATACTTTCGGCGCTGCTGTTGAGCAATGCCATACGTACGACGGAGGCGATTATGGTGAAGAAGCCCAGCAGGAATAGGGTAATCAGGCCCTTCTTCGTGCGTTTTGCCATTTGTAGAGTGCGGATCAGTGGTACTGGGAGGACAAATACCACAATATCCATGAAAGTGTTGAACGCAGCGTGAGAATACCAGAATGCCTTGTTATTGATGCAGTGTCCTGAGACTGCTTTATCCCATGCACGAGTCAGTGGATTGCACTGCCAGATCGTGGCCGCCGTGAAAGCTATGCCGCCCGCCATAATGATGGCGATGTTGACCCATACAATCTGCTTGAACTTCATTTGCGCGCTGAACAAGCGCAAATACAAGAAGCAGAAGGTGAGTTTGGTGAAGGTGCCGAGAATCTTGTACAGAATCTGATAGAGGTAGAAGTAGAACATCGCTCGGGGAAAGGTCGAAGATATGTTTTCTCGATGTTTGCCGAAACCGTAGTGTGCTGCCATGCCGCCGAAAGCTGTCTGTACAACGAGAGTCGTCCATGCCGCCGAAGCCATGAGGTCGTCCCAGCCTCTTTGCTTGTATTTGAAGCGCCATGCAAGTCGTGTCGTAAAGAATGCCGTGGACACTAGAAGGAGGACAAGCGAAACGACCACCAGGACTGGAGACTGATTCGGAATGCTGTTGTCCCACAATCCGGGCGCTTCGTTGTCGGCCATCGTGATGAAGCTTGACGAATGTGCTTGATGTTGATGTCTAGTGCTTGCTCGTAGAATCTTACTTCTCGCAAGTGCGATGAAGATATATTGAAAGCCATGTTTGCCGCTAATCGATGATTTCAAGATCGTCAGGCAGATCTGCCATTCACTGCTGTCGAACAAGGGCAAATTGGAACGACTGCATGGTACAGTAAAATCATGGCATACGGCAGGGAATGAAGTGTGAGAAGAAGCGCAGTACTTAGAACTACCAAAGCAGCCGTGAATGCTGCCGCAACAGTGTCTGACCTGGGCCATTTGGCAGCGCCGCTGCAGATGATGTTACTTTACTTCGGAAAATATGCCTTCAATATCGTTGGCAGTGAAGTCGTCTTCGATGCTCCTGTATAGAGGCGGACTGCCAGAGCCACGTGTGACGTGCCGGCCTTTCATTTCGAGGCAGCTGGCCGCTCTATCTCGTGCAGACGCCCATGGAAGTGTTCCGAAGCTTCACGTCCGAGCAGCCTTCCAGAACAACAGACAGACTTCCAGTGAATGAACCGAGCGAAGATGTCATATCTCAAAATAGCGGGAGGGAGAAAAGGTTTTCCATGCAGTAGGAGGTTCTATGGGTTGCATCGTGGTCATGTATTGGCATTCAATATTCAGGTACCTTTCTGGTCGATCATACAGCGAGCGGATTGCCTTTCTTGGTGTGGGTTGCGTGCAGATCTTGAGGCTGCGATGAGTGCTCCCGGTCCTGATTCAGCGACCTGGGACAATTCAGTCGTGATGAGGTCCTGGTGGCCTCTCGAAACGCGAGTGGATGTTGACGAAAAGCGGCTGCGAGTGAGGTTGGTGTGGGTTGGGTATGGGATGGGATGGACGTTGTAAGGCGTCAAGAGAAGCATCCCAAGGATCGACGCCACTGCAAGCTGCATGTCCTGCGCCACAGGTATGAAGTCATCTTCGAACAGCTTTCGGCGCTACCGAATTTCGAACCTGTCTCAAAGCGGAACTGGCACATGAGCTTCCACACTCGTGGGTGAATGACTTCACGCGATGCACTCTCGACATTCCTAGAATGGTAGTCGAATGGGAAGCCTGAATGGATAATCCATAGCACACACGTTGACGGCTCTTGCGGCAAATCACTCAAGCCCTATGACATGGGAGCACACGCTATCGACCCATTTGCTTGAGCAGCAACTCATATTTAACTATCGGCCTGATCACTCCAACTGCACTCTGCATTCACTCTCAAGCATCTACACATACAATACAACAACTTCCAAACTCACACGTCACTTCCATCAACATGCAGCGAATCATCACTCTCGCCCTCGCTGCCGGTGCTGCAGCTCTGCCAGCTGCCACCTCGAAAACTCCACTGAGCAACTCAGAGTTCGGCCTGATCATGGATGTGTCCACAACAGACTCACCCATCTACGTCTCGCTGAACGGTGTCAAGAACGGCACATCCGAGGACCTTATTCTCATTGGCGAGAGACTCTCAGTCTACCCAGGGACACCTACCTACTTGGACCCCGTCAGCCCAGACCCAGACTGCCAAGCCCTCAACTTTGACGTCGATGGATGCGAGTATGGACTCTACGCTCCGGACATTGGAGACAACTACGGCATCAAGACCTATGTTACCGCGAAGAAGGACGAGAAACAGTATGCTTGGAGTGTCTACAACGGCCAAGTCCACCACAAGCTCTATGCTGCCACCAACCAGTTCCTTGGTAAGTCATCACTGCGCTTCGAGTCGGAATTGCCTTCTGTGAGGTATTCTGGTACAAAGGGCTAACGTTTTACAGCTTGCAACACCACCTACAACGGCGAGACTTACTTGGCCCTTGGCTGGGGTATTGCCGACTCCAACGGACTCCCAGAGGGTTGCATGAGCACACGAGTCTTCCAGAACTGCAACATCGAAGGAAGTGAAGCAAACTGCAAGTCTACATAGATGTAGATCCAAGGCGTGGGTGATGCTGCTGGCTCTTGACCGCCCTCAAGCACAAAGCAAATCCCACTTCATAGCCACCAAAACATAAGCTTCGATAACCAACCTCCCTCCTCCCCTCTCCACCTCCGCCGACCAAGCCTGATCAAACGTATTCTCCCAACTATGTCCATCCCCCGTCTGACTCAAAATCCCATCCAAAATCTTCTCCACACTCCCCTTCAACCCAACCAGATCCTCCCCTTCAATCACAACCTGCTTCTCCGACACCCGAATCTTCCCCAACTCAAACTGCGCCTGTTCCGCCAAACTCCTCAAACCACTCTCCTCCACAAACTCCCTCACACTCCCACTCGACCCCCTCCTCCCCGTACTTTTAAACGTGCTCAAAACAATCTCCTCGACAGGATTCCGTTTCGCAACCGTCACAATCGCCACACCTTTGGGAATCAAAGCATCAAAAATCTCTTTCAGCGTCACCAAGGTCTCGGACTTTTTGTATGTGGCAATATGCGAGAATGCGTGAGTGACGCTTTCATCTTGGACTTTGACGACGGGGATTAGATTCGCGGCTTTTTGGAGTGATGCTTCGAATTTATGATTTCGACCGACCGGTTCGGTGAGGATGACGCTTCGGGGCATATCGTGCTGTTGGTCCAGGAGCCATTTTGTCAGGGTTTGTGCTGATTCGATTGTGGTTGTGAGGATTGTGGAGGATGCGTTCAGGTTTAGTTTGGGATATTGGTCGACTAATACTGCTTGGAGCAGGGCTTGACGAGAGGGTAGGAGGGCTGTCGTTACGACGTCTGTATCCATTTTAGAATCTTTTTCTCTTTTTTCAATGTTGTTTTGGAGCGGGCTGTCGGTTTAGAGGTATAGGAAACTTGCTTGTGACTTTGGTAGGACATGATGATGTACTTTGACGTGTAATGTTAAAGCGGGGATTGGATGAGGTTGGAGCTCTCCTCTCGTCAAGCAAGGTTGATCCGCTAGCGAACGAATGCTTGTTCGGGCGCTTACCGAGGGGCCCGATTGCGAGCTGTAATCCATGGTTTTGGCATCCGATGTAGCCTAGAAGGACGCTGATGGTATTATTTGTGCCGGTGAGTGAAGGCCGGACGGCTTGAGCGAATGAATTCCGGCTGGGCATACAGTACCGCAAACCCGGACAAAATTCAGGGGTGGCATCGATGCATATTCATATTGAGGGGGCAAGTACCAAGCCAGACATGCTGAGTGATATGAGTGAGCATAGGCATACAGTATTCCTATACACTGGCACTCTGATACCTCAAGGACTTGGTCACAATGGCTTCCTCCCAACAGTAACCTTGAACATCCAATGCTTCCCCTCCTCTCTTTCCAAATTTCGGATTACTTCCTCCTGCATCTCCGCAATCGTCCTATCATCATACCCCTTCCCCTTCAACAATCTCGGAATCATATGCCAAATCATCGGAGGCATGTAATCAGCCACATACTCGCCAAAATCCTTCCACTTCTGATCCTTCTCCCAGGCACCACCAAGTGGCCATCGATACTCCTTCACAACAACATCTGTAAACCCAGCTTCCTCCATGCGAGGTTTGGCTCGCGAAGCACAGAGAGCAAGATCCATGCCTTGCGCTTCGCCGATGGTTCGACAAGCTGTTAGCCATTTCCAAGAATCTGAAATGACTTTTCCCGAACCGTCGTACCAGATGAAGTCTATGTCGTGAATTTCGAGGTAGCCGCCAGGTTTTAGGAGTTGAAAGGATTTGTTGATGTAGCCTGGCCAATCTGTGAGGCCGCAGACTAGGAGTCGGGAGAAAATGAGATCGAAAAGCGCTGAGTCTTGACTTTCTGAGAATGGAGAAGTAGATCCAGGTGGTTGCCATTGACTAGGTTTGTCCGTTACGATATTGCCTTGCAGGAAGGTTACGTTTGGAAGACGAGTCCGTAGTTGAGGCACTGCGGATAGGTCGAGACCATAGACTTCCGCATGCGGGAAACGGCTGCCCAAGTTGTCTGTCACGATACCAGTACCGCAGCCAACGTCGAGCATACGCGCGTCCTTGATATCAGTCTTTATTGGCGCGTGTATAATTTGATTGCCCATGATTGCGGAGAGATGTCTAGCTTGTTCTTCAAGACGAACATGTTCTTGTTCATCGTTCGGTAGAACGTAGGCTGCGTCCTTGTTGTTGTGGTAGGTCGGCTCATGTTTGAGGTAAGTCGAGGCTCCATCAGTGGCAGACATTGTGTCAGTAATTCGTGCTTTGCCGAATTGTCGAGAGCAATGCTTCTGCAAAACGTCCGTTCGATTACCAATCTCTGTAGCGGTCAAAGCGGTCCTCGTTCAATTGACATGGGAGCACCTGGCTAAGTTTGCAGCGATGAGTGGAAGGGGTGTTGCTGTGACCGAGAAACGTCCGGACATGCACCCTTTAACGATCCTTGTGCTATGAAGATCAGAGCAGCGCCGGAAGCCTTCCAAGCGGCCGATGTTGCTCTTATACGACTCCATGACGGAAGTTTGAGGATGCCATCTTTAGGTCGTCCGGTGCTTATTCTACCCCACAAGCCGCAGTGGAGGCCGGCCTGTCCATGAACTCTATATCGATCAGATGGCTGCAAGATGACAGAGGGGTATCCAAGATTTGATCAAACTGTTTTGCATAATCAGTACTGCCGATATGATACCGAACACTGTGAGATCTGCCACATGCAACAATGCTGTGCAAAGAAGACCACCCTCCTCGTAAGCCAGCCTATCCAGAACGCCGCGCTAATCCCCAGCAAGCCCTTTGAAATCACTCGTCAATACATATCTTGCGCGCCTTCGCAGGAATCGCCCAATCCACCTCTTCCATAATTGCATAAGATTCGAAAGGTGCCCCTCTAGGCCTGCGCTTGAGCTTATTCTTCCTAGTTACTTTATCGTACTCTTCGACTTCGATCCAAAATTTAGGCTTGAACGCCTGCATGGATCCCCAACCACGAATCAATGCTCGCCAATAACATGCTTCGGCTGCTGGCGTGAGATACCGTTCGCGGAATGTGGCCACAGCATTATCCGCGATGGCTTCCGACTCGGCAAAGTGCTTGGGCTGCGTGAGCTTGTTCATTTGTTTCGGCATGTCGCTGTAATCCCGTTTGACATGTATGAAGTTCTGATCCGGACCAGAAGATTTCAGCAAATGGTGGTAAGGCTCTATCCAGTCTAGGTCATGCGAAAGTACGACAGAGCGACAGTTGAGTAGGTACTTGAGGCGTCCACTGTATGTGTTGCCCTCGGTCTGCGCTACAAACATGTAAGCGCAATGGTCCTGCATACTGAGAAGACGCTCTTCGATGTTTGTCCTATTGGACCAATCCAGCTCCAGTACGTCAGCCCACGGCTGTTTCTCACTGTGCTTGACCAAGCCAGCTCGAACATCGTGTGAACCCACAGCAAGCGAGCCACGCCAGACCAACTTGGGTATCTTGTCTACGAATTCGTCTTCCTCATAGTCCAGCACGGTCTGGAATTCTGCGTACGATCGCAAACCAACATCTGGCCAACCCCAAAGTCCGAAATCTGGCATCAACCACAGCTTCTCTTGGTGGGGCAGTCGCGTATAGGCCCATGTCGTGTGATTTCCGTAACGGTCGTGCAGCGCAAAGTCGTGCACTGTGAAGCTAAATTCAATGTCTGGTAGCTTGCCCGAGGAGGCGCTCACAGCTCTGTGTATCGCATGTAGTGTCGCAAGAGTTCTCGGTCGATGGTTGTGGTCCGTAACAGCATGAGGATCAATCACATACAGCTGGTTGTCATGAATCATCGCACGAACGATCCCATCTCCACGCCATGCCTAAAAGCAATAACTCGAAGGTCAGCAAATCTCGTAGACATGACGATGCTTTCAAGTTATTCCTTTTCTTACCACGTCTACTTCATCTGGTGTTATCTCACCCCATTTCTCCTTACGATGCTCCACGGCGCGAGCAATTTCCCTGTAAAGCTCCGGGAAAGCGACATTGCACTGCTCCTCCGTCAAGCCGTAATTCCTGCCGTCTCTTCTGTGATCGAATTGCCAGCCTGATTTAGTGGGTTCGAAATGCGGCTGCGCGAGTGGTCGTGGTCGAGGCTTGTGCGGTCTGTAGCTGTCGATGTATTGCGAGCCAAAATCTTGCGTGACGAAGAAGACTAATGCGCCGGCGCACAGGAGGAAGATTGTGCCGTACAACGCGACTGTCTTCATGTTTCGCACTTCTCCCAGTAGACCGGACCTGTGGGTTTGTCTCTTTTCACTCACGCCATTTGATGTGTCATGAGTGCTCCATTTGAATAGCAGCGCGTGGAGAGTACGAAGGGACAGGAGTCGAGCTTGAGAAAACAGGCTTAGAATACCGCGGCCTAGAATACCAAGCTTCTTGGCAGACGAAGGACTAAGGAGAGCATGTGCATGTCATCGCATCGCATCGCATCGCATCGCATCGCATCGATCTTCTTGGGTGGAGGATACTGAAAATATGTGTGATATATACAGCATGGATTCAAGAATGTGAATCGACCTCTGCTCCCGGTTGTTGTCATCCGCGTATTCGCATCGGGCCACGGACCCCAGCCCGACCAACCACCAACCACCCACCCTGGATGACAACCCTTGAGACATTACAGCAGACATATCCTCATTGCCGCATAGAAGGCCTTCATCCTCGATAGTGTCACATCTTCGCCTTCGAATCCATGTGCTCAACCCCGAAACCCTCCCCGTCCTCTAGCAATCTTGCTCCTAATCTCACTCCTTAAACTTCCTCATGCCACCAACATAATTCACATACTCAGCTTTCCTGCCAACCACATTGGTAACCATGTAGGTACTGGCTCCCTTGATAGTCGAGAAGAAGATATTCCCAACTCTTTCAAGCGGCGCTTCCACTCATCCCCATCTTCAGGTGTTGGGTCGACATATCGTATTCCTTGCATATGAACATTCCTGGTGACATCTCTGATCCATCGACTTTGAACTTCGATGCATGAGGGTCCGTTGCCCAGGAAATCGGTTCGTGTGGGCCGTAGAGGGAAAGGAGTTCGGGTACTTGGGTATTATGATCTGTATTGCTGAGTGGCGAAGTCCTGGAGAATCAAGAGCTCGAAATGAATAAATAGCTCTGGTTTGCAGTTTTCTGCAGATTAAATGTTCACTGCTGGGCCCCTCTTTCAAGTTGAGCGAGGGAAAGGGCAGCGTGCTTCGCTCTTGACTCATAGCGAAAGTCATTGATCTTGAATGATTGCGCCTCTTACGCGCGAGGAGCTATGAAGCACATTGCAAACTCCCACGTTGATAGCGATGTGGCATGATGTTCGGACATACAGAGTTGACCTTCAGTCGCCGTTCAAAGTCCGGCTTAATGGACGAGTTTCTGATGTCTTAAAAATCAGATAGTGTCCTGAGACGAGGTACTGCTGGCAGAGGTAGCACTTAGACTCCTATGCGGGCAGGCGTGCATTTAGATTTGGTTCCTGCGACTTTGGATATCACCCCAAGAAGCGCTTGATCTCTCCTCCGACACCCTCTAGATCGAGCAAGAAGGTGTCATGGCCGAAAAGCGATCTGTCTTCACCCAGCTCCGCGTGCGAAACACTTCTGTTTCCGACACGTCGTAGCGTCTCAGCAATCTCGCGCTGTTGCCAGGCGGGGAAGAGAATGTCAGACGCAACACCCACCACCAGAGTTGGAATGTCGCGCAGAGGCACTAAGCCTTTGACAAGGTCTTCAGGAGGTCCGGAACCTGGAGTACTTGGCCTTACAGAATCCGATCTTTCCATCGCCATTAGTTCTTCAGACGACTCCTGTTCCTGATAAGGCACGTCCGGAATGGACAATGTACAGCGGTCCTGCTTGATCTGTTCAACGAATGATCCTTGCAGTCGGTCGGCATTCGCAGCTCTGCGCTCAGCAGTCGAGTCTTGAAGAGCTTTACCCAGGTCGAACAGATCCATAGCTTTGCTGACGTAGAGTAGACTGTTTGCATCGTACTCGAGACACCACTTCTCGCCGGCATGGTCCAAGTACGTTTCGATTAGGAAGTCAGGGCAGAGAGCTGGTGGCTTGCTGGGATCCGCACGTTGTCTTCCAAAGCGCTTCTCCCATTCTGGGCCGGATCGGTAGGTGATTGTTGCTATTTGGCGAGCAAGCTTCATTCCTGTGTGTGGAGGGATACCAGTGTAGTAGTTTCCACGCGTCTTTGCCCAATTTGGATCGTTCATAAGCACCTGTCGCTGGCAATGGCGCATAGCAACGCTGTAAGGATGGCTTCGAGCGCAACCTGAGACCGACACAATGCGGCCGACTCGCTCGTTGTCCATAACGCCTAGTGCCAGTGATTGCATTCCTCCCATGCTACACCCAACACTGGCGTATAGCTTGGCGATGCCCATGGAATCGAGAAGTCTATACTGTGCTCGAACCATGTCTTGCATTGTCAGAATAGGGAAGCTTGTGCCATAGTGCTGTCCGGTGATGGGATCAATGCTGCTAGGCCCAGTGCTTCCATAACATCCACCTAACACATTCGTGCAGATGACAAAGTATTTATTGGTGTCTAGCGGTGCTCCTGGTCCGATGAATTTCTCCCACCAGCCAGGCTTCGGATTGGACTTGGTGCTGTGGGCATGACTGCTTGCAGAAAGGCCAGTGTGAAGTAGGATGGCATTGCTCTTGTCCGCATCCAGTGTGCCCCATGCTTCCCACGCGATGTCAAACGAGGGCAGCACACCGCCCCAGTCTAGCAGTGTTGGCTCGCCAGAGTGGAATGTCTCGTGTTCGCCGACAGTATACGATGGCTCTGGGCCAGACAACGATCGCTTGGTGGCCAGTTGTCGCGTCCGGTCTTCTGCATTTTCAAGGCATGGAAATGACAACTGCGGGTTTGCGATCGAAGGCCCAGAAGGAGGATCATCCTGAATCGGCTTCGCTGCGAAGGCTTGCGCTGGTCTTTGCGTATCGCTTGAGATGGTACGATTTTTCGTTGGCGCGAATCGTGTGCGGGCATTCGTCTTGCTGGCTGCCCGGGGAGCTGCCCTGGTCAGGCAACTTAAAGTCCGCAAGGTACTCATGGCCTCCAGACACTGTTTCTTCTACAAATTTGCATCGGGAAGTCAAGACGTTCTTCCAAGAAACATCAAGGACCATGTCGGAGCGTGTATAACGACAATATGCGCCCCGCTGAGCCCGCTCGCATTTCTAAGCTGGAAGAAACGGTTTTCCATCGAAATATGCAAGGGTCCAAGCACGCCATTGCCAGGGTACTTAAACTGCAGAACTTGATATGATTTCTCAATGCATTGCTCCATTGGCAGCAGCAGCAGTGCCATATCAAAACATTCGAGATTTCACCGCTATCGCAAATATGGCGATCCAAAACTTTTCTCTCAACACCACCGCTCTTGCCTCTTCATCTCACGAAGGTGTCCTTATCGCTGGGCAACGGGTAATACTTCATCTCCAAGTCCACCCCCAGTTTCCCATCCTCCATCACCTTCTCGCTGAAAAATGCATATGCCGCGTACTGCCGGTCCTTCTCGTCCTTCACCACAAAGCAGAAGCACTTCAATCTCAGGCCCTCCAGGGCCTTGATGACATTCAGGTCCGTCACCTCGCGCACATAGTACGGCCGATGGTACTCATGATGTAAGATTGGTCTGGCTTCCCTCGGAACCGGTGGCACATACTCATCATATGGCATGCCATTCTCGTCCTCGTCCTCATGTGCTGGACTCATGTCATTCGCGTCTTCACCGACACGATGCTGCACGTGATATGACACGGCTTCATTGGGACCATCCGACTTCATGCTAAAGTCAAGGAAAAGCACGAGTTGGGCGTCGGTGACGCTGAGCTGAATGGTGTAGCCGTCTCGGTAGATATAGTGCTGTGCTACGTTGAGCTTGTGAACAGCGAACGCTATGTCGTGGTGAATAGCCTTGCGAAGATGCAATTCATCGTAGCCATCTGGCGCGCTCTCACCAACTGGAGCTCTGAACTGTAGAGCATCATACTCAGCTATGGCGCCGTTGTGATTGTTGAGATGGCCGTGATTGCGCCTGGCAACTTGAACAGCTGGTCTAACGAGGTATGAGAGAAGAGTATGGTCTCGGTCCACATTGAGAGCTTGAAGAACTTTCTTGGGGAAGCGAATATTTCCGAATGTATCCTTGGAGAAGCTCTTGCGAGAATTGGCTAGCGCAATCTTGAATGCTTCATATTCGTTTTCAATGCACTTTTCGATGGCGCTACTGTCGTCTGTGATGGCTGACATCGCGGGGATGGGCGATGACGGGGCATCCAATGAGTTCGCTGTGTTGCTGGTTGTGCTGCGAGCTGTCGAGTTCGATCGAGCTAGATGGCAGGTCAGTGGGCGCCGCTTTTTGGAGACAGGTTGTCCTTGGGCCCATTGGACTCTCTGATCGCTACTCACGACTGCTGTTCGCCGCAAGTTTGCGCGCCTTCGTCGGTGTCGCAGAATCGTCCATCGCCGTTGGCGGGCTCGAAGTTGTCAGAAGCGCTCCGTGGTGACGAGGAATTGTCGCGTAAAGGTTGTGTTGTTGACAACGTGCAACAGCTCGAGTCTTCCATTGCTTTAGAAATTGAAACTAAGCATAAAATGTGGGTGATCGAAGCTTCTGCAGGTGCGTTACAGCTGTGACAGGTGAGTGTATGGTCAGCGCTTCACTTCACTCAACTTCACTTTTGTCAAGAGCAGATTCGATGCACCTGACGGCTTGCGACCGAGCGTCATCGGGGCCAGAATAGAGCTCGCTGCAGTGCACCGCTTCGCATCGATGTGTATTACAGAGCTGTTCATGTTTTCGCCCCAGCGCCGTGCTATACTTACAGTGTCCCCGACTATCCAGAAGCCCCACAAACGCCCAGTCCTGCACCAGCAACATCGAAGTCTGAGATTCTTTGATCTTGTCACCAAATGCAGAGCTCTACTCCGCGGCATCTGTGATACAGCCGTGGCTAGCATCCTTGACGTTCCTAGCATACTTGAAGAGGGTACCCTTTTGGTACTTGAGCGGAGGCGCCTTGAACTCTAATTTGCGCCTCTGTAGCTCCTCCGGCGTCTGATCGATGATGTCGATGACGCGCTTCTCAGCATCAATGGTGATAGTATCGCCATCTCTCACGAGGCCAATAGGGCCACCGGCCTGAGCCTCAGGAGTGACGTGACCAATGAGAAATCCGTGAGAGCCTCCAGAGAATCGTCCATCAGTGATCAGCGCGACATCGTTTCCAAGGCCAGCGCCCATAATAGCAGAGGAAGGCTTAAGCATTTCTGGCATGCCAGGGCCACCCTTTGGACCTTCGTATCTGATGATGACAACGGTCTTCTCGCCCTTCTTGAGCTCACCTCGTTCCAAGGCCTCGATGAAGAGATCTTCTGCGTCGTAGCATTTGGCCTTACCAGTAAAGACAGTACCTTCCTTACCTGTGATCTTGCCGACTGCACCTTCCGGGGCAAGAGAGCCACGAAGAATGCAGATGTGGCCAGTCTTCTTGATCGGGTTGCTGAGCGGTCGAATAATGTCCTGGTCGGCCGGGAAATCTGGTGCGTTCTCGTAGTTCTGCTTTATGGTCTTGCCAGTGGCTGTGATACGGCTACCATCAATAAGGCCTTCTTTAAGCAGGAACTTGATCAAGCTGGGAGCACCACCAATGTCGTACAAATCTTGGAACACATACTTGCCAGACGGCTTAAGGTCTGCAAGGAAGGGCGTCCGATCAGTCACTTTCTGGAAGTCATCAATATTTAAATCGACGCCCACACTGTGTGCGATGGCGATCAGGTGGAGGACCGCATTAGTTGAGCCACCAGTGATGTTGATCAGGACCATTGCGTCCTCAAGCGCTTGCCTCGTGATGATGTCGCTTGGTCGAATGTCCTCCTTGAGAAGGTTTTTGATGGCCGGACCAGCAGCCATGCACTCAAGCTGCTTGGCTTTGCTTGCTGCAGGGTTGGTCGAAGATCCAGGGAGAGTCATGCCCATGAGCTCGATGATAGAAGCCATCGTATTCGCGGTGTACATACCGCCGCATGCTCCACAGCTTGGAATAGCATGTCTCACGATATCCTGCCTTTCCACTTCGCTAATCTCTCCGCTCAAGAAAGCGCCGTACGACTGAAAGGCTGTAACGATATCAAGCTTGGAGTTTCGAGGTTCCTTTCCACAACCAGGTGCAATTGTTCCTCCATAAACCATTAAGCTGGGTCTGTTCACGCGGCCCATGGCCATGATGACACCAGGCATATTCTTGTCGCAGCCAGGAATACTGATATTTGCATCGTACCATTGACCGCCCATCATTGTCTCGATAGAGTCTGCAATCAAATCTCTACTTTGCAGAGAGTATCTCATGCCGCTGGTTCCCATACTGATCGCATCACTGACACCAATGGTGTTAAATTGCATGGCTTGAAGTCCGGCCTTGTTCACGCTCTCGCTGACCTTGTGGTTCAGGTCCAAAAGATGCATATTGCACGGATTGCCACTGAACCACACCGATGACACACCGACTTGAGCCTTGTTCATGTCTGCCTCTTTCATTCCTGTAGCGTATAACATGGCTTGCGAAGCACCTTGCGATTTAGGCTGCGTGATGTGCTTTGAGACAGCATTGAGGCCTTGTGCATCGTCGTCGACAGGTGAAGCACGCATGCGGCGCGGTGTATTCGAAAGGGAGCGTCTGAGGAGGCGTCAGTCTTGAATGGTGTGGTTTGGTGCAGCATTGAAGCGGTGTGCCAACATACATTGAGTGCGATTGTGTTCTCGAGCACCACGCTGGCCGCGCAGCCTGTGCACTTCTCCCAAGGGCAAACATAGTGACTGCAATGTGAGAGTCATAAACACGCACAAGCCTCGCAGCGCAGTTGTGAGGCTCGGAATTATTTGTACAGCTCCCGAATCCCGATTGCGGAGAGTAGTAAGCAGCATTGCTTTGGCCAGTGTGCCTGCCGAAAATGGCTTGACTCAGTGGACCCATTCACATCAAAATTGCTTGGCTCTCCCGAACTCCTCCGCAGCATCTCTTGTCACTTTCACAAGCAGTCCTGCTCCTGCTCGGAGTTGCATCGCGCAAAATTGAACCCAGACATGGCACAATAATCTCTGCGTTGTGATACGAGCAAGTTTATTTTTGGTCGCTGAGGAGTAAACACCCAGCGTGAAGATCTGAAGGGGATGCAGAGAGGGAGAGCTGCTGGCCACGGCATTGCACTTGCCCTACACCTTCACTATCGAGAACAGAATTGGACGGAAAATCAGAAAGGATGCGATTATTCTGCACTTGCAATCTACCAACGCAACACTTTGACCACCGATCGCTTGGTACCTTCACGGTCTTCAGCCTCCTAGCCGAACGTCTGATTGATTGTGCCGTGGTCTGTCTCAAGATTAAAACCTACAATTGACAAGAACTGTAGGACATAGACCAAGGTCTTGATTCTTGAACTCAGGGGAACATAGATCTTTTCTCGGCGCCTAGCTGGCTTCCTGGACTGACTGCATGGTGTCCAGCTGCCCGGAGGTCCAGTCTTCTGGCGTCGTCTTCATCGCCCTCTGTACGCTTCCTAGTGCACTATCTTTCAGGAGCACAGGAAAAGACCAAAGGTAGACAGCCTGGCCGCATACTTCTCAACCTCGGATACGGGCAGTCAAATCGATTGACCAACTCTGGCTAGATGTAAGGTCGTCACATACGCTTTCGTGGTGCCATCGCCCTATATCTTCGCGTGACGGCTCTTGAGATCGATCATATACGAGCCCACTTCGAGGCTCTGACCAACACTGCAACCTGAATGCGTGTGAAATCGGCTTAGGTGTTGATGTAGAGGACTGGTTCGCGTGTGAAAGCAGGTAGACAAGGTAGCAAATCGGCTTTGCGTCCGAAATCAAGCCCCAGCTCCCCCAGCTCATCGGCACCCGCCTCGACCCCATCTCACTTTGTCTGGGATGTTTTGTCATCCCAGCGTCACTTTCGTTTCATACCAATGCCACTGCAGCGATCATTGATGGCAGTTCCTCGCTCTGATGTGATGCGATGCGAATGCTGCGTGAAGAAGGGTGCTGCACGCGCTGGCGGCTGTGATGCTGTGCGATCTGTAGTTCGAATGGCTGCCACCCGTGGACATCCTCAACGTGTTGTTCGAACTTCGCAGCTCGGCAACCACGCTTTGCTTTGCTGAGGCAGGTCGCATGCCGGGGCCGCTTCCATGGTTCGACAACTGAGCTCAGCAGGAATTACTTCCCGCCACCACTCTGGGCACTCGCTTGAGCACCGTCTGCCAACCTGCACCCGGGACCTGCCCTCTTCACTACCGCCTGCTCTCCTAGACATCGTTCTCCTGTTAAGCAGAGTAAACAACGCCTGGCTCTGTTGCTCCTGCCATCAACCTCTGGCTGGCCATCGCAGGTGATCACACAGGTAAGCAATCGAGCAATCGAGCAATGCACTTGAACTTCCAGACCGCCTGCTCCTCATAAACTCCCTCGCCGAACTATCTCACTCAGCCACATATCCCCGTCCTATGCACAGCAAGCGACAGACTGTAGCAGATCTCAAAACTTCTTTCGAGAGTCGCGGAAAGCCAGCAGCAACAGCAGCATCTTCCTCAAGGGCCGGCGACCTAGCTAACATGCCATCCGCGAAGAAGCGAATCGCCTCGCAGTTCGAGAAAGCTGCTGCTCCTTCAATCGATACCGTACTTGACACCGCTCCACCTGAAGTGACTGAGCAACTAGAAGCACTTTCTTCAGCGCGCCCTAGCACTATTCCCAAGAAACCCTCCTGGATTGGACCCAGACCTCCAGATCCGCCTGCCACACCAAGCGCTTCACGAGCAATGAAGATTCCAGTCACCATCACATATGGCTCGCCTGGTTTGCAGCCGCCAGTCTACATTTGCACGAGCCTCAGCGATCCGCAATGGGAACCAATAGAGATGGAGGTCTCACAGGATGAACGAGGAGGATACAAGTTCACAAAGACCTTTACTGTGTCCGAGGGCGAATATCAGTACAAGCTTCGACTCGGTCCTGGTGACTGGTGGGTGTGCGATGATACCAAACCGCAGGTGGACGACGGACTCGGCAACAAGAACAACTCAATAGTAGTCAAGTCCGAGCCCAAGCCCCCTGTGCGCCTTATTGAACCCCCAGCGAAAGACATGACACAGGATATGATCGACTCAGTCCACAATGCTCCGCTCATGCCGCACGAGAACCATGGCCATGTGGAGAAGCCAGAGGTTCTGAAGGCTAATGACCATCACCTCTCGCTTCCCGCAGACCAACATCATGCGGCACCAGTCATGGGCCACGAGCAACTAGCACCACCTGTCGATGACTCCGAAGATGAGCACGACAAGCCTGAAGGTCCTCCTCTCCTGCGGCACGAGTCTATTGCACCTTCGTCGCACGAGCAGTCTCATTCGCCGCTATTTCGACATGAAAGCATAGCAATCGACGACAAGCAAGACGATCATATCCTCGATAACGTTTCGCCACTTCTCGGAGGTCGAAAAGGCAGTAATGATTCTGTGCCGAAGGAAGCCGACCCAACCGACTTGTCTCTGGAGCAGTTTCCCACGGATCATAGAGCGATCCTTGATCACATCGAAAGGGCAAAGCAAGCTCTGCCCGAGGACGAAGTGTCAGACCATCCCCGCAGCCCATCAACATCCCCACGTGAAGCTGTCCCTGCCAAACCATCACCATCGCTACCCAGTGTGCAAGAAGATGAGGCGGAGAAGGAAGACGAGGAGGCATCTGCGAACGTTCCTCGCGTCCAGATATCCGAGCCCAAAGATCGACCAGCCGCTCCGATCACGCCTCCCATGACGCCCACAAAGGAAAAGCAGCCGAGAGACGACAAGGTACAGAACGTGGTCGGAGACGTGATTGACAAAGCGAAGAGCGTTTCTGGCACTTTTGGGAAGCAAGCTCGCGAAACAAATTTCAGCACTATGTAAGAATAGCATGTCAGCGCAACTGTCGCAGCGAATGCTAACTGGTCTAGTTTCGTCGGCATTGGGTTTGCAATCGCAGTTGCCATCACTGCTGTAGGCATTTGGTACTTTAAGAGAAGCAATGTGGAGGTCATTGAGGCTTGAGCTGGGGTTCAAAACTGAGAAAAGGATAATGTCCGCCCATTTGGCTCCCGTGGACTCGCATCGGGTGCGACTGAGCATGAGTTGAATGTGGAGTGACGAAGCATGGGCAACGATATCAGAGGCCGGACCTAGGATGGCGCATAGCATATAGCATAATTTGGAAGGGCTGTTTTCCTGTGTGCCCTGAAGTCTCGTCCGCTGCTCCCATCTAGAATAGACCTCAGGCACCAAATATGATGCCCACCACGTGCACGTGCGCCACACCTCACTGATCGCTAGCGCGAGCGCTAACGCCTCCCCGCCTGCACGCACTACCTAGTTTGACGCTGCAGCGCCTCGAGTCTCGAAATCAACTGCCCACTGCACTACCTGCTCATCACTGCAAATAATCGATGCCATATCAGCACCAAGACCGGAGATCGTGACAATCATCCTTGATCCTAGTCGGCGCTGCTCATCGAGTTTCACAGCCAAACTCTCACGCCGCCGCGGCGCCGATATTTCGACGACTTTGACCGCCGCTGTTCCAGACTTCCACACGACTGTACCATCGCAACCACATACGCTGCTGTTGGACACGCCTGTACCGTAGTGCACTGCACCTCCGCATCTGTCAGAAGCTGTCGCCCCGCGAGAGATTGCCAACAGCGATCGATCTGCCGCCTCCGAGAACTGCCGAGCGGGACCATACACTGCATTCGAAATCACAGAAGCGCCTGTATTGAGCGAACCAACATAGAAAAAAACAGCAAATCCCTTATAGCGGCGGAGATACAGCAGCGGTGGCGGAGCACGACCCTGCGCATACACGGCGCTCGCCGTAGGGCATCGGAGGAGAAGGAGAGGAGGAACCGCGGACGAGAGGTACAATCTCGAGCAGCGTGTGCGCATACGCGTAGTAAGCGCATCGGTACACATTTCGAGGCCGTCGCGCTACCGACGGCCTGCTCGAATGCAGCAGTCGCATGATGGATCCGCAGAGCCAGTCTTTTACCCCATCCTACAACAGCAGTAACGAGAATTGGCGATTACAAGGCGATATCACCAGAGTCCAACAGATTCAGGCGGAGCACGCCGAGCGGATAGCGAGACTAGAGAGAAGGCAGGAGGATGATGCGCGTATGAAGAGTGTATGGGGAAACCAGTCACCTTTTCCTAGTGTATTGAGTGGAACGCCGCAGCACGGTACGTATCTGAAAATGTGCTCTCAAGGAATTCGAGTTGATTCGAATGGCGCAGGACCTCTGCAACAACCACATTCGGACCGATTTGCTGATTTCGACGACGAGGCCAATAACCTGATGAGTAGCCTGCACCTGGACGCAGAAAGCGAGCCTCGGAGAGGGATGGGATCTGCGTCGAGGGCGAACAGCGTTCGCTTCGACGAGTCTGCCAATCAAAATTACGTCTCGCACTCCTCGCGACCCTCGGTGGATTTCCTGTCTCGCACCAGCAGTGGCCTTGGTGGTCTTCGACTAGATGAGAGGACTTCCTCCCATAAGTCTGAGGGGCGTGCCAGCTCTGCGCATTCAATGCGCTCTGCTGCATCAGGACGAGCCAACAGCCTCAATCTGGATACTGCGGCTTTCGGACTGGGCGCGCTTTCAAGATTGCCCTCGGAGGTACCACCTGCAGGCTTAGCTCCCGGACTCATGCTTCTTGGTGCAGTCCCTGCAATAATACGATGCTGGATGAACACCAATTTCAAGCACGACGCTTTGCTCTATGCGGCGGTTTGCACTGGCTCATATAGATCATTTCTGGATCTGCGCCTCATTGAGAAACTTGGCTTCGAGACTTCAATTACTGTCGAAGACGATGGTACCCGTGTAGTGGAGCTGCCAGTGTTCTTCCCGGAAGCTGTTCCCCATCCTGCATCTTCGCGTTCCAGTAGCCCGGCACCGCAGCTGCCGTCACTTACGGTAGAGTTTCGTGTCATCGAACAGGGCGACTTCGACAACGAAAGGGCACTGCAAATCTTCCTGGGCAGCGACGTCCTCCGTGCTCATAACGCAGACATCCTTTTCTCTTCTAACAGCATGACCATCTACGACAATGAGCGCAATAAGCTGAGCATTCCTCTATCTCGGCCCGAGAACGAGTCGGCTTTCAACACGTTATTCGTTGCTAGCGGCAAGGCGCAGTCGGCACCTCGCATAGGCAAGTCAGAGCGGTCTCCGAGGGAACAGCCATATTTGAATGGATTAGGTCAAGCTAGCTCGACAGCTTCGGTCTCATCCGCTGCAGCAAGCCCTCCCCCGGGCAAATACAGACCACCGGGTGCAATTGCGGCGGAAAGCGGTAATGCCGATTCTGCAAGGCCTGGTGCTATTAACTCGGACAGCGAAATACCAACAAGCCCATCAGCGAGCACTGCACGACCATCTCTTACGATGCTGAATACGAAGTCAGATAGATCGGAGCGTGAAGAGGCGCCCGCAGATGCAGGATCTCAGACGACACCTTTACGTTCTGGAAGCAGTCCTGCAATCTGGAGCAACTGGCGACGAGATGGCGCTGGTTCCTCGACCATTTCATCGAGCGGCTTGGATTGGGTAGGCGCCAGCAAGAGTCGAGAACAGTCTTACCAGCGGAAGGATACTGGGATTAAAGTGCTCAAGCCTAAGACTGCCAGCCGAACGTTCTCAACAAGTGCGACTCCAACTTCAGGTGTTGCCAGCCCAGGTGATGGAAAGAGCCGGTTCTTCGACGAAGGTCGGCGCAGAAGCGAGCTCGATCCAAAGCCTGCTAGTATCACGTCGAAGGAGAATTCAGTGTCTGCTGGCTCTACAACCGCACAGCCCAAGACGAAGTCGAATCCTATAGGTGGGGCGTCTGCGTTCTCTTGGCTCAACTCTGGAGGCTCGAAGTGAAGTCAGAAACGGAGATTTGGCACGGCAAGAATTGAAACTGGGGGCATCTGTTTGATGAGCAGATTGTCCGACACATGGAAATTTCGGTGTATACACCCCCTGATAGCCACTGAAGTATGTAGGCAGTGATGGCAAGAAATGAAATGCGACGTTTTGTGTCAAAGGCTCTTCGCCTTTCGAGGAAACGATCGAGCTCTTCGCAATACCTGCAACAGGGCCATGTCAATCAAGATTGCAAAACGGTCTCGTTGCTGTCGCCCAAGGCTTGGCTCAGACGACAACGCTCCAGATTTCAACGCCAGCAACGACACGATTTCCGCGATGTCAGTCGCGTAGGAAGAGAGTTGCCATAGAGCCGTTGCGCATCGATAGCACACCGTCGGTTTCAGATGTCTTTTGTAAAATTTGCCTAGTCTCTAAGAGGGGCATCAAACATAAGTTACGATCCGCCACTTTACTTTGCAATGAGCCAACAACCCTTTCTTTGTGACTTTGGATGAGAATTGATACAGCACTCCTCCTCCCACCCCCCCTACTTAGAGCTCTTGGCAACGAACGCGGCGAATGGTGGTCGAGGCGCCAGCTGCAGCGAGATGGATACCTATAGGACATAGGACTATGATATCGCTTTCTCCTCTGCGCCAACAACGACAACAATGAAGAGAAAAGAAAAATTTCAAAAGTTTGTGCAATCCACCCCCCCCCCCACCCCCCCCTTCTCTTCTCTTCTCTTCTCCCAGCATATTCGCTTCGACCGCACACCAAATCGACTCAACTCACGCACGAACTTCACCTTTTCAACATCCCCCAATATCATACTCAGTTAAGTGTGGCGGTTCAGATATCAGCGTCGCCATGCAAGACGGAGGGTGCACTTTCTCGCTCGCCGCGCCATTTGCCAGCGCCGCCACTCCTCCTCGCGAACGAGGCATAGAATGTATGGCGGTACCGTTCAGCTTGGTGCCAATGTACGGAACTGCGCAAAGGAAGGAGCAATGGCCATTTTGCGGAACTTGTTTCGATTTGTAGGATTTGATGCGCTAGGAATAATGGCTCTCGCTGCTCACGACCAGCTCCAACCTCTCAGCTCAGAATAGCCCTGCCCTGCCCTCCTCAGCGGTGTCCAAAAATCTCAAACTCGCCTTCATCTGCATCACCGTCGTCCACATCATCAAGCATATCGGCATCAGACATATCCTGTTCTTCATCCCCTTCATCATCACTACTCTCTTCCTCGCCAGCAGTTTCACCCGTTCCATCTTCATCATCGCTCTGCTCAAAAAGATCAACGTCTATACTCTGGACATCGGCGTCGCTTCTCGTCCTCAATTTACTTCCGCGCCTTGCTCTGCCTGGCACACTCCTAGCACTTGTTGGACGGTGATGCTCAGATCCAATCTCATCTTCGTCCTGCGTATCCAAGCCACGTAAGTAATATCTCATAGGTGAGAAGCTGCGGCTAAGCGAGTCAATCATTTCGTATGGCGAGAATCGAGGCATCTCCACGTTCGGCATATTGGGTAAATTCTGTCGCATGCTTTGTAGATTTGGTAGGTTTGGTAAGTTGGGCATGCGAGTCCGCCGAATCTCAGCCAAGTCAGACAAGGTGGGAAGATTGGGCAGACTGGGAGCTGTAAAGCGGGCTGTAGCGAAGCTGGGTCGTCTCGTTTCGAGGTCTTCGTCTCGCACAAAGTAGCGCCCAGGTGATTGCGCGCCACTGGCAAGTCTAGGAGAACTCGGTTGGTTCGAAGGTGATTCGGGTGTCTGGAGCCGCGCAGGATTTGGCACTTCCAAGGCCCCATTGGCAGCAGCGAAGTCGGCATTACCATCTCCGCCAATACCGGCATTCTGAAGGACTGCATTGCCCGTAAAGTCGTGCTGTCGGTGTCCTTGTTGCTGCTGGCGGAAGAGCCTTTCTGCTTCCGTTTCGTGATGAGCAGTGGGCGCCATCTGATTTGTGTTGTAGCTGTCACATCGCCCGCATTTCAAGCCCAGCCAGTGGAAGGGTGACCACGTCCTCGCTCCACAGTCGTTGCAGCCTATCCAGACTTGTCGCGGCCTTCGCTGATGCTGTTGTGGTGCATCTTGGGATTGATTGACACTTTCTGGCTCCGGTGTCCCTTCGATGTGAGGGAGTAGGCCTTCCAGTTCTTCATCGTCTTCTGGCATTGGTTGCGCAGCAATCTCGTCATCCAGCTTGCGCCACTGCAATTCCATGTTAACAGCGCTTTTGCTGCACACGGGACACTTGTAGGTAACAGCCATGAGGTCTTGATAGCAGGTACCGTGCATGTAATGACCACATGGCAAGCTGACTACCGATGTTCTCGACTCGAACAGCACGTTCAGACATAAGGGACAGTTGCCTTCCGTTGCCTTTTCAATACAGGGATGTGCGGCCGATGTAGAGATGGATATGCACACATTGCAGCGCTTGCAATGCACAAAGTCCTTTCCTAAACCTTCGCCGACCCGGCATATGCCACAGTCATCGCAGTGATATATGCGTTTATTGGTATCGTTATCCCATAGCTTGCATTTCGAGCAATAGTACCATGCAGCATACTCGCGACAGTTTATACATGTCTCCCCGGCTGGCTGAGGTGTCTGACATAGCATGCAGAGCATATTCTGCGTCTTCTTTCGATTCAGACTGTGGGGAAATGGGAGATTGTGGGATTGATCGTGGCAATGCCGGCATGAGAACCAGCACTGGCAGTCGAAACATTGCACTTTCACATTGCGCTTGTAATGCATGCATCCGAGATCTGGCAGGTGTTCTTCATCTTGCATAGTCTCGTCCAGATGGCCGTCGACATGCTTAGGCGCCTTGGGGAGTGGACTGAAACTGGATCCAGATCTCCCGGGCGCAGATTGTATGGGTTCTTAGGATCGATGGGCATGGCTGCCGCAGCCAGCAAAGGCGTCGATGTGCCTTCTAAATCCACACCACCAGAAGCAGCACTACCCGCAGGAGACTGCGGTGTGGGTATGTGCGCGTGTCTCGCATTGTATTCGTGGGTCATGAGTGCATGCATTCTCTTGGCCTTCTCTTCCGTCGAAATGGCAAGCAGCTTAATGTCTTGCAGCTTCTGGCGCAGTGAAGCCATGCCGTCATTCTCCGGCAAAGCACTCTGCATGTTTGCCATGGCACAGTACTCTGTCGGGACGTGTGTTTGTAGTTGTGCGTGCCACTGAGCGGTGTTCGCGGTCAACTGCGCAGCCGGCGCGGTCGCAGCGCTGTTCGGCGTGGTGGATGTTGGCGGGCGACGGCAAGAGTGCGGCAGTGGGGTCAAAACATCGAATGTATCATGTGTGTCTCCAACATGATCCCAGGCGGACAGGGCGGCGTCAGCAGCATGGTCGCTGTCCGGTGGTGGCGTTGTGGTGTGCGGAGTCAAAGAAGCAAGTTTGAGCAAGACTTCGAAGTTTGCTGGAGCTCATCACGGCTTGCATGTGACAATGACGGTGACGCCGACGGGAGTGGTGGCCTGCGAACTTAGAAGTGACCTGGTGGCAGGTGCTGCTGCTTCTTGCGCCCCGCCCCGTCCCGCCCCGCCCCGCCCCGCCCGGCTCGGAAAGCGCTGCCCGGAATCATGGTGGCAGGCACTGGCGGCACACGGAGTTCTGCAACAGAATCAACATAGGACATGCGCTGGCAACGCTGAGAGTAGTGAGAGTGAGTCTGAGTGGCAGCAAAGGAAAGGGCGATTCCCCGGCCGATGCATCCATCCCACGACGCCGTCATCGTTGCATAACCTGGAAAACATCGCCAAGACTCGCTATATCGAGATTTCTGCAGCATCTTGCATACATGTAACCACGGCCACGGCGATCCGCAGCGGAATTGGACGAGAGGAAAACGCCGCTCTCATCTCCACCAAAGCCGCGGATACAACAATCACATTTGACATGGTCATGTTGTTTTGACAAGGCTCTCACGTGTCCAGAACGCGACACTTTTGCCTCACGATGGCGTATAAACAAACGTCCAGATCGGGATGGTGCAAAGTGGATGGATTCGTGGGTTCGCCTTCACAGAATGTTGGGACGACCGTTACGCCAATTTACTCGGACCTCCTATTCCCAACTGCCTAATTCGGCCAGCGTGGCTTGCGAAACTCGCCATACACGGAAAGGAGTGAATAGCGCCAAAGACACTTTCGGCCATGTCGACCACAGTAAATCTGTTACATACTTGTTTCGGTAGCTGGTGTTTACATTGTACATTAGAAGTCGTGCCTGTGACTTGCTCCTCTCCATTCGTCGACACATCCCAGACACGGCAGCACAGTTCCCCTGTGATCCATGCCGTGTCTCGGCCATGAAAGGCCCAATCTCGTGAAAGTCCGACGTCCGGCATCGACCATGGTAATCCATCGACGGTATTAGTAGAATCAAATCAGAGCTAAGCGCTCTCAAACGCAATGGGGTATCTCATAACACATGCCAAACTGTGGTAGGTATACACACACAGAGAAAACAGCTCTGGTCTGTCCAACCACTTTACTCCAGAAATAACTCCTTGTTCCAAATACCGTAAGCTGTACTGTGTGCTGGTCATCGTTCTAGGCAAACGTGTGCCTCATTGAGCGCTGCTCCGTTTCGACGATTCCGCCGCATCCGACAAGTTCGGAGACGGCGACTTCATTGAGAAAGAGATGTTTCGGTGAAAGAAGTCGAGGCGGTCAACGCTGTGATGGCTTGTCATGCTCGTCTTCGGCCGCTCTTCCCCAAGAGAGCCGGGAATCATGAAATGTTTTCGCTCGCCATCCTTGTCCTTTGGCTCAATGAAGAGGCTCCGACGGTGGAAGGTGCCGACCATATCATCGTGGCCTGCACGCATGCGCGCGAGGTGCAATTCCATCCACGTCTGCATTTCAGGCACCGTCTTGAGCCGATAAGGCACTTGAAATCTCTGTAGATGGCTAATGATCTTGGCGATGCGCATGTACATGTCGAAGTTGATGACAGAAAGCTCTTCGCCGCTTTCGGTCACGCTGCCAGGCACATGTCGCTTCCTAGGATTCCCGGCGATGACGAACGTCAGGTCCGTCAGATAGACACCTAGGAATGGCAGGCAAGGCGCCGCAGGCGCTTCGAGACGGCGACGTAGGCTGTTGTAATTTTTGGACATGTCGGTAACCTTGTCCAATTCCTGCAAGCGGGCCTTGGTCTTCTTGCTAACCACGTCCCATGTCTTCTTGAGCCGTTGCACCGGCGAAGAGTTGATAGAACACATAATAGACATGACCGAGTCGTAATTGTTGAGGTCGAGGCATGCAACTGCCACCTTGACCCATTGTTTGATCATGGCTGCTCGGGACTTGGCTGAATCTGGGGCCAGGATCGTGTCGGCAACAAGGTGTGCCAGATCAGTATTGAGCATGCACATCTTACGCACATTCTTGGCCTTCTTGGTGTTGACCTTTGACCATTCCATACTGATCAGCTCCTCGGGACGGATCTCGCAGTAGGTTTTCGCGACAAGTAGAGTAATCTGCCGAGCAACCTCAACGGGCTCGAAATCCACGATGCTGCACTGCGTTCCACCCTCTGCCGCGAGTCGAAGAGCGTTGAGCTGCCGAATGGTGACTACGGAGTCCGGCATATCGTTCCTGGTCTGCGTGCTGATCGACATGCTTGATTTCCCAACGCCGGAGACCAGAGGACCGTCAATGGTTCCATTTGAGTAGGCCTCAGTGATTCTCCGCGTCAGCTCTATCAAACGGTCACCAGCCGTGGGCAGCACCTGCTTCAACTTGTGGAGGGCGAAGAAGCGAATTTCGCCAAGAGCATCCTTATCAGCTTCCGCGCTCCAATACGTCTCCAGCCAGCCTTTGAAGACATTGTAAATGCGTAGTCGCACGGGGGTGCCACTCGTCTTGCTCTCGCCGATATAATCAAATCTGTCAATCAGGGCCCGGGCGAATTCTCGGGGTTCCGTGAACTTTCGAAACGTCAGGAAGAAGGCGGTCACAAATTGTGGATCTGGTGCCACGTCGTGTGTTGTCAGCTGTTCCACCAAGGCTGGAAGACTGCCACCAGTGACCTGCCCTTCTTTGTTCCATGTAAGTTCATGTGCATAACTCTTCTGCAGGAGCTGCGCCTCCACGTCTAAGCTGGCCTCCGTACCCAGCGAGCGCATGCTAGACAGGCTCGCGAAGCTATCCATCATTGCTGGGTCCGGAGTTGTAGAGTCCTTAGACTGTTCAGGAGTCGTTGCCCTAGTAGAAGCTTGGGAAGCAGCAGTCATGCTTGAATCTCGTGTGCTGCTGAAAAATGTCTCCGTAGAGCCTGCTATCGAGATGCCAAAGCTATCCTTTCGGGCTGGGCTGATAGAGTCAGAGCGGAAGGTCCGTGGGCTTTTCAGCGACTCCACGCCATGAATACTTGAAGTATGCGAGGCTCGAACCATTGACCTCCGATGATTCGACACAGGTAGTGGTGGCAAGTCCTTGTTCAATTCCTCGGTCGACGATCCTGCCTCTGCAGACGTTGCGAGAGGACTTTCCGCTTCTACAACGGTGCGTGCTTCCTCTGGCACTGGTGGAGGCGCAGCGGGTGGCGGCGTCAGCTTCATGTCGATGGATTGTCGATTTTCTGCTTTGACATCTCGCTCGCCGGGCTCCTCGGGCGCTGCCACCGACTGTTCAGGCTGAATCTCACGGCTGCTCCTAGATGTCTGAGTACCTGCGGATTTGAGCTCGAAATCTCCAATTTGCTCGATCAGTTGCCGTGTCTTGACCACACATTGCCCAGTATTGCTGATCATGCTGGTGCCTAGGTTGATCAAATGGTCGGTCTGGCCGGGCAGCATGATGATGTCGTCCTCTGGATTTTCAGAAAATCTGAACACATCCTGAGTGGACTTTGCCAGCTCTTCTATTTTCACTTCGAAGTCCTTCTTCACCTGCTGCACGGATGGCGATGCTAGCGGGTCATGCGTATATACTTCGTCGATAATGGCGAGCATGCTTCGACACGCTTTCACAAGGCGCTCAGTAGTGGCAACCAGCTCAGAAGCAGGTCTTGCATGCAAATGGTGGCCAATGAATGCACCGATGTGACTGATGCAGACGTCGTGTACATTTGCGAGTTGCTCAGAAGCTAGTAATCCTAAGCCGTGGGGAATCTTGTCCTTTGTTATGGTGGAGAGACGATGAGCGACGACGCCATCAGGAGGCGTGAACACCACCGAGTGGCGCGGGGCTTTCTCGTCAATGCTCTGGCGTTCGTCTTGTGGCTCGTGGGAAGCATCCGCACGCACGCCGAGTTCCGGTAGATGCTTTCCAGAGTCGATTGGACCGGCCATGTCCTTCGATGCCGACATTGCCGTGTCAATCTCCAGATGGGCCTCCGATACTGGCTTCCCGTACATGCTTAATCGTAAGGAGTCGTTGCCAGTGTCTTGAGTCCAGACGTCAGTGAAGCTGACCGCTCTAGTAACGACCTTGAATGCTTTGCAGATCAAGTCATCGAGCAGCACGTGGACAACTTCTCCGGCAAATGGTTCGCTGATGGTCTCTTGCAGCCTCTTTGCGATCTGCACCAACGTGGACAAATCCGCCAAGAGCCCTTTGCGCATCCTCCGTACTCCGGCATGTCGCTTGACTGTTGGGGATTCTCGATGCAAGCAGTCAGCTCGCTCCAAAAGACATCTGACGCCGGCGATTAAGCCTCTGATATAGTCTTGCCTTACGAACGTCGACAGATTTGCATCTTCTTCGGCGCCAATCAGGTCCCAGAATTGAGTCATGGCGTTGAGAAGATTGCGCAAATAGGCGTGGTCGTACGCTTCGCAGTAGTTGGTGGGTAGCCATCCACGGGCGCCAGTATTGAGTACAGTGCCGTCAGCCCAGCCATTCGCATGTATGCAATGCACCAGAATGAGGTCGCCAGGTCTGATGGCGACAGTGGCAAGCGAAGTGTCTTCCTCTGGCATGGCACTCGTTGCCGGATCGAAGGCATAGAGGGCGCGCAGGTAGTTGTGGAAAAGTGATTGATTGAGTGGCACCACGTCCATGTCAGGCGGCGGACTGCCGGGCGTCTGTGGTGGCGTCATGTGGGCGACGAAGCCTGCTGTGATGGCCGTCTGTATGTGAGGTCGTGAGCGGCGCTTGGCCTGTAATGTGGCACTATGCGGTGTGCAGAGGGCCGGGGCAGATGGTGGACGGGCTCCCGCGGTGGCATTGGATCCTTCCCAGTGTTCGCTGTGAGGGCGCTGACGCGCAGCGGGTTCGTCGGGGGGAGCGTCCATAAGACCGGTCGAGCAGAGGTCGGGAAATGAGGTTCGGTGCAGTGGTCAGGCCGGGTCACAGCCAACTAGTGTGCAAGTCGCAGGTCCATGAAGATTGCACGGGGCGGCAGCGGTGATGGTGTGTCGCGGGTGGCGTCAACAATGTGCTGCTGGAGAGAGGGTCGTCAGTCTTTTCGGATGTCATGTTGTGTTGTGGCCGAGGAATGCATGCCATGCCATGCCATGCCATGCCATGCCGTCGGGAGCGTCGCCCGCACGTCGGCAGCAATGTGCCACTGAGAATATTGGAGCTGTTTGGGGGTCGAGGCAGAGTTGGTTACTGACCGTGCAATGGCAAGGATGGCTTGCGGGGCATGCGCGTGGTAATTAGCTTCTCGAGCGTATGCTGGAGGCAATCGCGCTGGGTGCCCGACGAATGCTGGTTTCACGCTCGACCAGGAGTTTCGTTGCAAAGGCAATCAAAAGCCGCAGGGCTCGGTGGAGTCTGGTGCAATCCAATAATGACTTGATTGTAGGGCAGCAGTAGTATTATTCTATGGCCTGGCTGCTGTCGTCGGGTGCGCGATGCCAACTGCCGAATCCGGTGTGTTGCTGCTGACTCCTGCCTCCTGATGAGGTTCCAGGTCGAGGTCGGGGTCGAGGTCGAGGTCAGAAGCAAGGGACGTTCCTGCTGTCCAGGTGTCAGTCTGTCAGATGGCAGGAACGACGACAGGCGAGCGACGCGAGCGACGCGATGTGACAAGGAGACCACTTGCACAAGCTCACGCGCCGTCGTGCACGTCGGCACAATGATGATGGGCCATGGCATGGCGAAGGACTGGCTTTGCTTTGCCTTAGCGTCGCCATTCCGGCATCCGTTGATCGTCGACCTCTATGCGGCCGACGAGAGTAGCCTCTTTCGCAGTCAGAAGAGCCCAGCGCAACGGTTTGAACCAGCGCGACGCCGTGCTAAACGGTAGAATAGCCTCAACGACCACTGCTCTCTCGCCAGCCTGACCCCTGGGAGTCGACGCACGCCGACGCCGAGCATTGGAGAAATCTGATTTATATCTGGACTGTAGTAGAGCGATGCGGTCTGTGGACGCGTCAAAGCTACGGTCAACGCATCATACAGTACTACTACTACTACAGTACGTGACAAGTCACAATAGCAGCACATTCTGCTCTCGCATCACAGCCTGTCCATCGGAGGCGTAGCACAGCAACGGGCCAACGCTGAGTAGTCAGCTCAACCAAAGCACGCTAGAGCGCCGCCGCACAGCAATTGGAAGCAATGATGCACGCCTATTACTTTTCTAACGGTCTAGGGGCTCCACATGCCGCCAAATTTCAAAGCATCTTCGGCAGTCAAGGTTCGCCTTGACTTTCCAAGCATGCATTATTGTACAGTATATACACTGCGATTAAGCGAGATGGCGGACGGGGGTAATCCCCGTAAGCGGCAGCTAGCTTGAAAGCGTTAGACGTAGACTTTTTAAAGGTGCGGATAATTCCTTTAGGCAGTACGCTAGCTTTAACTAGTTAGATCCCGTTTTTAGGGATTACCGCCGTCCGCTATCTCGCTAAATCGCGGTATATAGTAGCATGCCTATCCCTTTAACCGCCTCCGTAGTTAACTCCGTCGAATACCTACCCTAGCTCTACTCTTATCGGGTTCTACTTCTAATACTAAATGTAGTATAGCCCTATACAAACTTATATCGCCTTTCGAATAGCAAAGATATCCGATTAGATCTCGGATTTAGCCGTAGTAGAGCTTAGGGTTAAGAAGCCGACACCTTTACGAGTCGTCCCCTAGTAAAGGTTTTATAGTAAACCTTAGTAAGTAAAGGTATAGAAGAAGGTATAGAAGAAGGCATATATAATAGAGGCGCTAAGTACGCTACCGAGATAGGTATATAGATAATAGACCGTAGATTAAGACCTTCTAATAACTAATTAGCTACTAATAACCGAGTCTCGGTTGTCTTATATACGCCGTCGACTAAGTCGCTATAAGCTTAGTAAAGACACACTTCTAGCACTAATTAAACCGCTAAGTCTACTTAAGAAGTAGTTTAATATTAGTCTACTTATAGCTAAGGTTAACCGGCTCGTAGAGGTAGTAAGGGACTTAAGGGTAGATATAAACCTTCTATAGAAGGAGGCTAAGGAGTTGCTAGTAGTTAAAGAAGGCTCTCGAAGTAAGGCAATAGTTATTAAGAGGGCGGAGTTTAAGGCGCTCGAGTTAAGGGTTAGTTAGTTAGAAGCGACAATTACCTCGCTCGTAAAGTAACAGTGCTTAACCTACGCTTTTTAGGAGTCGAATATAGCGGTAGCGGCGAAGGTTATTAATCGTTAGTAGCGGTCGAAGATTGCTTAGGCTCCTAACTCTTAAAGAAGTTATATAGATTAGGCTAGTTATGCTATATAACCTCGTAGGCTCTATAGATAGCAATAGGACCGTAGTAGACATATATCTTAGTTGTCTTGTACTTACTACGCTTATTAATAGGCTACTATTTGAATTGCTAGGCCGTTCTTACGTACTTATAGAGATAGTAGCGCTGCTTAGGTAATAGAGGCTTTATTACGTAGACTGCCTTTCTACTATACTCGAGGCGTCGTTTCTCTTCCGCTATAGGCAAGCTGTTACCTTTCCTAATCTAATAGCGTTTAGATCTTCTTCTACTACTATTATAGGTATAACCTGCGATAAACTAGCCGTAGTTTCGAGGGGGTAGCGGAGTTAGTATACGAAGAGCCTTTGCTATAGCCTCTTTAGTAAGGCGAGCGTTCTTCTTACTCTATGCCTTCTAGACTATTTGCTACGCTAGTTTAACTCGAAACTCTTTTTAGTAAGTAAAGTCCTTATTCTTCTTGTCGCCTCGAAGAAGTATAAATACGTTAATAATAGCTACGTTAAGAAGGAAGTAGAATAGCGGGTACTATCCCTTCCTCGACTTATACTAAGAGAAATAGTAGAACTAGAATTAATCGTAGATATCTATACCGCCTATATAATTATTATAGAGTGCCGCGATCTTCGGAATTTGTTTAGGTTCTCGTTCTGCTTTCTAGTAAGGTCGTACGTAGGTATCGATAAAGGTATTATTATAGGCTCGTAGGCGTGCCTATATGCGAGTTTTACGGCTTCGGGGGTCGATATTAGGACTAAAGAGGTTATACGTAATTAGTATGTAACCGGGCTCGAGTAAAGCTAGGGTCTCGATGCCTTAGGCAGGGCTTAGCGCTTAGTAGTAGGCTAACTTGCCTACCTTCCTCTCTCTCCTTCTAGCTCCTTATCGAATACTACTCGTACCTACTACTACCCTATCTACCTACTAATATACCCTTCTTATATAGTATTCGATCTACCCTTTAAGGGTAGCAGCTAGATAGTCCTTATTTCAAGCTTTTAGCGGTATAGCTACGAATAAGACTAATCTAACTATATTGCGCCCGAAGAATAGGACCTATACGTACTATTCTATCGAAACAACCGTACTAATTATCAAGCAAGGCCTTCTATACGGCCTATTACACTAAGTTAAGCATACTAGGCCGATATCTACTAATTCCGCTATATCCGCATCTTAGGGGCTAACAATATATTATTAGTGTCGCCCTTTATAATAGCCAGTTTATTACAAAACAACAACCGTACTGCCGCTAGCAGTGCTAACAACGATAATACTAGTAGCATAGTGCCTACTAAAGTGCCTACTAAAGTACCTACTAAAGTGCCTCCTACTAAAGAGCCTACTACTAAGCCTACTAAAGAACCTATAACTCTAGGTAACAACCTAGAATTGCCTGTCGACGACATTCTTAATAACATTGTTAATCGTCGATATAGCTAACTAGCCTTTAGTCCTTAACTAGTAGGGAGACTTTAAGAAGCTACTTAAAACAGGCTTACTACTTTACGCTAAGAACAATAGTTAAAGGATAACCTTCTTAAGCTTCGCCGCCTTTAGGAAGCCCCGATAACTAAACTAATAGTAGGGCCTTCCTTACTAACTATTTAAAAGAAGGATGCTAAACTTAAGGATTGTACCGTATTCGATAGCTCTAGTCGAAAACAATATAACGACTATATTCGTAACTATAAGCTTAACTAGCGCAATACACCGAGAGCGCTACTAGATAACTATTCCTTAGTCGTCTATGCTATATAGTACATCGATAGAGACCTAAAACGTACCTAGGATAACTATTTCGACTCCCTCGACGACTAGACCGCTATTTAGTAGCAGACCTACAAAACTATTATGCTAGATACCCTTAGAAACCCTATACTAAGGCAATAATATGCTTAGGACCTATATCTTCGAGCTAAATAGAAGACTAATTAATCGGCCCGCTCGTTTAAGGCCTATTTAAAAACCCTTAAAGACGACCTTCCGCCTAAGACTAATTCTATATAGATCTCCGAGATACGCCTAAAACTTAGATAGGAACTTATCCTCGAATTAGACCGTCGCCGTATATTCGAATAAGCTAACCTAATACGCATTTAATTTATAGTCGAAGTGGAAACAGCCGAACGAGCTATCTAGCTCTAATAACGACTAGAATCGAGGATCCGGCTAGCTAGTACTAACCGCGGCAATCGTAGTAGCCGCGGAGGAAACTAAGGTTCCTACTATAATAACAATACTAACAATAGGAATAGTAACAATAACCGTAGAAGAGGCCGTAGCCGCCGGCTATATAGAGGAGGCCGCGATAGGGGCCGTAGAAGGGGCTCGTATCCCTATAATGCTAACCGCTCGGCTAACAACAGCAATAATAGCTATAGCAGCCTACTAACCGGATTGAAGTGCTTTAACTGTAACAGCACTAGCTAT